TATATAAATTAGTTAATACATGCTCTGAGAAGTATTTGATGAATAATATGTCTTAAAATGTTATTAAAATTTGACGGAACGTGTTTGTTATATCTTTTATTTGTTAGTTGGTCAGGTAAAAAATCATTTCTGATTACTGATTAAAGAATAATTGTTTGTTATGTTTATTAGAGCTTATTAAAATATCAGACATTTCTAATTTGAATTGAAATATATTTTTGTTATAAAAAACCATATTACCCTTTTGATTAAAAAATAGATTATTGTCCACTATATATAGGGAAAAAATGAATACTTTACCTTTTCGTTGCCAACATTTATTTTGCTTTATGGTATATTTAAAAAATTTTTTTAAGAGCGATGAGATTGTTTTTTAGCGAATTATACTACACATATAAAATACGGGAAGAGTCCTCAATCAAATTACAGAAAGATTTTTCAAGTACGCAAGATTAGATTAGTAAATTACAAAAAAATCTTTAGGTCATTACATTCTATTAATGTTAAGAAAAAAATGTGCTATGGGCTGCATTGTGCAATTAAATAAAATTAAGATATTTCTTATGCACGCCCACACTTAAGTGTATGTACGTGCACGCGTGCGTGTTATAATGAGGATATTTTTTCTTAAAATTATCGGATTGCTAATTTCTATTTACAGAATCGAAAAAAAAATATGTTTTATTATTATAAAACTTTAAACTATAATATTTTTTGTATTAATGTGATACTTTCGTATAACTTTCGTATAACTGTAGTAATTAAACTATATTGTAAATATTTTATAATCACACATGCAGTGAAGAATAATGTTGGCACTTAGAGAAAGCAGAATGCAAGACGCCCAAGATGTAAAAATTCTAAAAGGTTTTTCTAAACGAGATTGAGGGGTAAGGACTGGAGAACTCAAAATATAAATAGTTTTCATAGAAGAAGAAGTACATTTTACCTGGTCTGTACTTGGACTTCTGGCCTTGTCTTCATTTTCTCGTCTTAAGTCGTCCTGCCGTTTGGGACTGCGTAAGACGCGTTGATAAGGATCAGAGCCACCTCCAAGATCACTGGTGTTTAATACAATTAAAGAAATCTTCTGTACGATGTCTACTATCACTAACCCTGATTCGTTTCCATAGGCCAATCTAAACATAAAAATATTCTATTTTATTATCTCTCTATAATAATGTACACAACGATACACAACGACATATACACATGTTTTTGTAAATTTATACGAGAATAAAAATGATTAAAGTTGATAAAAATATAGTTGTAAAAAAAAATTATACAAAAATAAAGCAATATTTGCGTATACGTGCGCGGTAATATCAATCCGATTATATATTATTAATTTTCATTTTGTGTAACAATTAATTAATATAATCTTGTGAATTATATTTTATACTCACAGGCCGTATGAAGAATTTAAGCTAAGAGATGTTATATTTTCCGGTTGTTCTCCACTGGGTGCCGTTGTTAAACAAATCAATGTTGCTTGAAAACCAGCAGCTCTCTTTTGCAGACCCGTTTTAATCTTGAGCGGATGATTGAAATCTGTATTTTTTGATTCCACATTTCCCACGGTGTTTCCAGTTGCAGGAGATTCACGATCCGGCGAATTATCCGCTTCTTTTCCTGGATCCACTGATAAGCATATTTCCAAAGTCTGTAATATATCGGAAAAAACATGTTTTTTTTCTACAAGAGAGGATAAGCATAAAACCGGTGTATGAAGAGAGAGACAGAGCACGTTTTATTTAAAAAAGATTTGATAAAGTAATTTGAAATAAAATAAGAGAAAAAGATATGATACGTTGCCATTTGCCATTTTTATTATAATTTCAAGAATTTATTAACAGATAGACCGAAGTAATGTTTCAATAAGAGCAAGAACAATAACTTACCACCACTTCAGACATACTCTCCACCTTCTTAAATTTAAACAATACGACATGTTTGCCGCTTCCCGCAATAGCTAATTTTCGACTTTCAGGACAAAGGAAGATAAGTTGAATTGCTAACGGGTCTTCCTCGGAGTCTATACTACGCGTTCTAGTCTTTTCGAAAAGTTTCGCCGTCTTTAGTTTGTAAAGGACTTGTAACGTTCCCGCTGAGGCGTCCCAGAACTTTATACTGCCATCGGCATGCCTATGGACAGACACACACACATATAGTTATGGAAATTTAAGGAATTTATCGATTATAGCTAACTAGTAATAGACGATGACATATATACGTATGATAACTGACATAGTAAGACGTACATATTTTGAAGAAACTATGCACGTTATCATTACGATGAAGAAAGTAAATTTATGATTCATTAATACACGAGATGTATTTATGATAATATTATACCCAGTAAGAATAATCTCGTTATAACTGCTGGAACTAGAACTCCATTCTCCACCAGAAATAGGCCATTCTTTCTCGCTAAAGCCGGTTTTCTTTTGTGACTTGGATCCAACGGAATAAAATGCAGGTACCAGATCCGAAGGACAATCCGCGAAATATGCGCAACATGTTACAGGAGATTCGTGAATATCCATAGGATACGGATTCTCGAAACAGGGGAATCCAGGAGTTAACAAATCTATCACAACCAGATCATTTTGTAGTAGAACAACAACAGCGTAAGGATCTTGAAAATCTGAAAAATAAATAATGCTACTAATCACACATATATACAAAGTAATTACATTTCCGTCGATACTAAGTAATTATAATTATTACGACAAGTAACTCGCTAATTATACATTAACGTTCATCAGAAAACTCTTATATCGTACTCAATGAAGAGAGGACAATATAATTGTGACAAAAACAATATTTTATTCAAGAATCACATCAAAAAATATATTTTATACTGTACCACTAGCCCATGGACTATCACACAGTGTTACAAAGTCTATAACATTATGTTCCATTTCGAGCACCGTAGTAGTTTTTCCATGTATCACTGTAATGCTAGGTGTTCTTCCAGTGGTATCGTATGCCAATCCACCAGAAAATATCACATATGCTTCCCTAATAAAAATTTACGTTTGTACATTATTTGAAAAAAATTAACAGATAGTTATATTTAATAAAGAGCTACTCTCTGTGATCGCGTTAGACAATTGATATATCATTTTTTTACCCTGATCTCGACAATTTCCACTCTACTTTTTGAATGGGTTTGCAAAGTTCAGGTTCTCCGTCTTTAGTGGATTTCGCTATAAAAGGGATATTATCGATATAAAATTTTTGTAGATTACATAATCAAACACAGATAATGGAATTGTATACCATCGATTGAATCTCACCGTGTGGATATGTTACATTTGCCGGCTTTAACTGTCGAACAGTCCAAGTCGATAGTGAACCATCCGTGTGACTGCACATAAATTGTTTACCTTCATGGTGCCATGTTATCGATTTCAATGGATCGTCTGTTTGACACCTATAGTCAGCATTTTTGGTTTTTAAGTCCCACAAAACAATCTGCCCTGTCGTGTATCCTATAAGCATCTGAAAAGAAAGCATCCGCATGTATATAAAATGCACGTAAAGTCGTTAAAACATATTTCCTTGAAACGAGAGAAACGTGGATATATATACGCATATATAGGGATGATAAAATGTATTCTTTTACGAAATATCTTGACTCTGTTATCACGACAATGCACTTAACATATACATATAGACAGATAATATCAAGTATAAAAATGTAGTGGACAAATTTCTACAAGATTTGTGCAAAGGGCACACATAAAACTCAGAGATACGATGATTGCGCATGATATCAATTATCGATCGTCGAAAAAGAATGAGGTGGACGAAGATTTTTGTAATCAAAGAAACAAAATCAACCGTAGAAAAAGATTGTGCTATTGACATATACACATTACGCGGTCGGAAAAGTTTATTTCGAAAATACAAAATATCACAATTTAATTAAAATTTACTTGATTGCATAAAATATATAATATACTTTTGCAAAATTTATTTTATTATGAAAACTCGGCGCAGTTTTCATTTCACATATTTTTCAAAAAAAAATAATATTTTATTCAGTATAATCACAATGTCTAAAGATAATGCTTCCGAAAAGGATGCTTTGCAATTATACTAAAGACAAAATAAATGATATTGGTAGATAAACTAGATATTAATTGAAATGAAAAATTCATGTAATAATCCTTAATAATCCCTTATATAAATTTAAAAGCAAATAACGTATATAAATAAATACTCCGATTTAATTAAAGTGAACAAAGATATATGTTTACACAACTGCAACCGAGAAAAACAAAATAGTGTATATTTATACACGATAATTATATAATATCAAATTTACAACATCAACATCAAAGACACAGAGAAGTTGCAAACGCACCCCGAGCACTCAAACACTCGTCACACACTCGTAACTTCATAATTAGTAGATAAAGAGAAGATACATTTGCATAAGATCTTACAGGAGAAATTTCATTGTTTTCAAACCAACAATGAACTCATACAAAGTGTGTAAAAAGATGAGTGATCATGATCGCGATATGATTTTTATCGACTTATAAAACTGATTTAAATTCGTTTTTACATAATATCGACGAGAGAGAGAGAGATAGAGATGATTATTTTGGAGTACCAAAAAAACCTGTTTCTTTAAATCAAATAGGCGTTTCTTATTCGTTTTTTTATATATACAACAGTGATAGCATGCACGCATGCACACATACAACATGCAAGCACACACTTGCACATTTGCTTGGATTACGGAGAATCCAAGTTTGTGTTAGGAATATTGAATAAACGCCAATTCTTTTTTCGCGCAATTGTTTTCTCCTTTATGCCTCACGATAAAATTGAATAATGTCAATCATGAAATTATGATAAGGATGGAATAATAATGCAAAAAAAACGTACTCAAAAACGCGCGTACCTTGCTCAAATCTAAAGGATTATCACTCAAGTGTACTACAGCACCAGGATGGGTCTTTCTAGATCTGAAAAATATATATATGTATATACACACACATGAAAACCATTAGATTTGTGTTATTGTGAAACGTATGTATGAAACACTTGCAAGCTTTAAACATTAGGTTTCATTGCAGTTTTATCTCACGATTGTACTTTTAGCTTAGATATTACGCTATGTTTTTCTTAATATGCCGATAATGTCTTTGTATATCAAAAACTTGGCATTATATATAATATTTTCACTAAACATACGGTAAAAGAAAATCATAGTTGATTAATAGAAAGAATAGATAATAAAGCATTCTCCTAAATAATTAAAATTAATAATTAACGGTTATATTTTGTGTAGAAGGTTCCATTGTGTTATTAATGTCGATAAATCAAGATTAGCAGTATTAATAGGCTTTGTCGGTGGTAATAAATTTTTGGAAAGTAGAAGGAAAGGGGGTACGCTTATATAAATTTTTAAGTGTCTCGCTATTGGGAATTATTCATGGCTAATGATTCATTAATCTGAGATAGAACCACGTTATTTGTGATCGTATAAAACACTCTTGTAACGACGATATTTATTTATTAATTAATATTCTGTAATGAACCTTCTTATATAAACAAAGAAATTTATTTTTATATGGATAAATCAATATTCTTTATATTATTAAACAATTTTTAACTGTGCCAATTTCTGCGAGTGATGATTAAATTGGAAATTTTTAATTCTTTGTGTTGGAATATCGAAAGTCCCAATGGTGGTACACTTATAATGAGCACCCTTATACCATCACTGCCACATTCACATCTATGTGTCTACAGTCAGGCACAATAAAAAGAGAACTACATGTCTTTGACGCGTCAATTCCTTTCAGTGTTAAAAAAAAAAAACATGTACTAGTAGAATTTATCGGAGATAATCTCCACACGAATTACAATTATCCGTTCATCGAAATTTAATTAATCCATACATTCACACATTTAGGACACAGTCTTGAACGACATATCTGTTACAGGGATTAGTGGAAATGGGATCTGAAAATGTTACTTTTCTCACTCATCTTTTTGAAAAATGTTATTAAGAAATTTTCTCTCGCAAAAAGATACAATAAAAAATCTGTTACGTAAATTTCTTGTGTAAAAAGATTACATAGTGGATATATGCTACTCATTTTCGATTTGAAATATTCTCCAAGTCACCGTAATTCCGTATCTACAGTTAGAGCATAGGTTTATAAGAAATAAATTTAAGAAAGTGGCATATTTCATATGGAATAATCTATACTAATAGTGGATAAGAAATTACAGTGGTTTATTGTAGAATATTTTAAAATCTGAGAGAAAAATATGTGCACGCAAACGCATCCCGATATATCCAACTGTAATAGAAACTCTTAAGCACCAATAACTTATTATTTAAAAATAAATTTTTTATTGTACGTTGCTGTTTCTCTTGCAGCGTGTCTTTCCGTTGTTTACGCTCGTTCTGTAGTTTAAAGAAAATTGCATTAACACAATACCTAATCACAACCAAGTGTTAAAAAAAGTAGAATAAATTTACATCATATTCAACATCATTTCACTCCGTATTTAATAGAAGTCTTCTTGCTGAAATCAATTATGTTAAGCAGCAGTTAACTTTCAAATACTTACCTTAAAGCAACAACAATTTTAAACGTGTTTACATGCTCATATTAGAATTAGAATTTATGAAGATCGGCACATAGAATTTAATGTGTTTTGCACGCATTCATTAACATACGATTGCATTTATACAAATATATCGCGTTGCTACTCTTCATTTCTTAATTACTCAAATATGTTTAGCAAACAATTTATATACTTACACTTCAATAGCCTTGTTCCAGTTAATTACATATCCGGATAAAACGAACGTTTCAATATGCAGTATGTGAATATTTCCTCGTTCCGTCCCGACATACAACCATTTACTTTGAAGCGGTAGGTGAATGCAAGTGATTCTGTTGAAAACGAATTATACAATTAGCATTCGTTATCAAGAAGTTCAAACCGTTCAACCGTGCTCGCGAAATCTCTCGATTACTTTACATTCTACTCGTGTAAAACATATTATGCATGATTGAAGGCTTTGTATTTATTCAATATATTATGAATCGCGAAATTTTCTGATGACAAAACGAAATTCGAGGCGGGAAATGCCACGGGTGTTAATGACTGACCTGTCTCTTTGAAATTTGAGACTTTGCACCACCTGCGGTATCTTCTGACGGAAGTTCCATAAATGCACGGTGTCGTCCGCCGTAGCCGACACTAATGCCCCTTCGTTGATCAAGAACTGTAATTGTATTACAGCCGCACATCCCTCGTGCTTAACGTGTGCATCTACGCCCGGTCTACCCAAACTGTTTTTATATCAAATTAATTCAGGAAAAATTACAAGTCTCTGTGTATCAATTACGAGCTACCTGTCCATGTACAATATTATAAAATATATATCTCTAATATATAATAATTAATTATAATCCGTATACATTTATGATAAAAATATTCCCCATATTTTAATCATATTAGTTTATTAAAAAACCGTACGCGAAATATTATAAAAATGCATAAAGATTGCACGAAATATTATTAGAAAATTCTTGCCGATTCATTAATTCTTCCGCGTCCAAACTCTTTTAAACGCAAAACGTAAAAATTTCACCTAAAATTGACAGCGCGGTTAGAACTTTTCCGTTTATAGTTCATCGCGGTAGTTAGTATTGTCCATCGAACTGTGATGAGCATCTATTATATCTTCACTTTGGCCATGATAGATCAATGAAGTCACTGATGTGTAAAAACACACGGTCGAAGAGCCACGAACCAACAGGACCGTGTAATTAATCCGCTAAAATTGCACTAACCCATTGATTCCCGAAATTTTTTAAGATGATGCAAAAGCGTTAACGAATATAGTTACAGTTTTTATTTCCGCCAATGCAGAATTTTCGGCATCGCATCGTTGTCTTGCGATATTCGTTTTGAGAATTGTGTGGGATAGTGAACACATCTATGGCAAAAAGCGATCGAGAGAAAACTCAACAATTATATTCGACGCTATGTAATACAAAAGAGAAAAAAAAGAGGCAACAAAAAAAAATAACGAAAATTGAATTACGTTGGATACAATACTAATGGATCTACCCATTATGTTGGGTCTTTTTAATTGCGCCATGCATTTCTCTTCTTTCAAAGAGTTTAATTACGGGATACCACCCGTATTAACGATAACGTCAAAGGATACATTCTGAGGGATCCTGATTTAGTGCCAATAGCTAGGAGCCTTTGAACTGGGTCGAATGCCAATGCTGTCGGCTGATGCGGGAAGCCGTGTCTGAATGTCTGTAACATAAAAGGCATCCGTGTTTCATGCCATCTTTCCCGCTTTAGTCGCTTGGAAGACTATTCATTCCCGCAAGGGGTTGCGGAAATATATCAAGAGAGGAAAAAAAAAAAAAAAAAAAAACCCCCCGGGAAAAAAAAAAAAAAAAAAAAAAGAAGAAGAAGAAGAAAGATCTAAAGACTTATCGCTCTCGGGATCGCAACTCGCGTAAACGCGAGTTGGAAAACTTGGTTCAGGGCTAACCGCGAGCGCGACCGACCGCCGATTGAAGAGAAGGATAACATGTAGGACGACGAATATATGTCTCGGGATCGATTTTGGTGCAACGGGACTCCGTCGCTGCTTTTCGCTGTTGGTGAAAACTGCCCTCGTTCCATTTCACCGGCCGCCATGGTCGGGCGCCGGCGAAATAGGTTGAAATACGGCGAAAGTTACGAGTCCAGCAGCAACTTACCTTACTCCGAGTCTCCAGAGACTCTCCCACGCGCAACTTCCACTGGGCCAGTTTGCCGGACCACCGACAGATTCATTGTTAATATTACTTTGAGCGAGAAATTACATCGGAATATAAAGATTACGTAAGACTTAGAAGGCAATATCCAATCGAATAATCGCGATTTAAATCTCATAAAAATATAACTTTTTTGACTGCGTACACGACATACATTCGGCACATCTATTCTAAGCTTGACAACGGCTATTTTTTACATATTTCGAATATCTTATCGATTCATTATACGCAAATAAACTTACGTGAAAAATTACATCAATCAGAATCGGATCGCTCATGTTTTCTGCGAACTGGAACTAGAATTTGTCGCCAAGTTGTCGCGTGTGCGAAAAAAGTATTATTGCATGAGGAAGCGAAACTATCGACCTGATAATTCTAAAAAGGTATATTTAAAAAAATTATTAGCGATTAACTTTTTTGCTTGAACATTCACGCGCTTTTACGGAGAAATAGATTGAGCACCGAGTGTGTAAAGAGAGAGTTTTTCCATTTTGAATACATTTTTGCGGGGGGCTATATAGGAATTAATCCGCTTACATAGCGGGCTTAGATTATTATCGGGTAGAAAGCGTTTCACTCGATCGTGTTATGGCGTGATGATTGCATTGTAATTTGTGACGGCCGGACGCTCAGCGCCTGCAGGTGCGGCAATCCGATCGACACATATGCGCGGCAGGGCAATCTACTCTGCGTCGCAGAGAGGTTTATTAACTATAAATAAAAGAGGAAGACAAAAAATCAGAGATGAACGGAGAACAGTTCTCCTATTATCTGTGAAATTCTCGAACCTTTAGGATCCTGAGCGAAACGATGGGATTCGTGGAGTAATTTTTTACAAATAACAGGAAACACATAATTGTTTTGTCCGATTCTATATAAATCGATAGCATAAAACTAATTAAAAGTGACATTTATCTTATTATTATATCAATTAATATGTCTGTTAAGAAGTTAATCTTTATATTCTAACGATATGTAGTGTATATTAATTTAGTCTCTCTCTTTCATAATTCATAGTATTATACAAAAAGAAGATAATTTTATTCAAAATAACATCTAATTATTTCGAATTAATCAATCCTAAAAAAAGAAACGAGTCAGAAAAGAATCAATCCGACTGTGTTAACAATTATACAACAATAGAGCAATAAATCAATGAATCTTATAGATTTTTTATTTATACAGATTTTCTTAAATACTCTTTTATTATATCTCATAAATATGTTGATACATTAATTAAATTTTCTTTAAAATATCAATATTGTTTGTGTCGTATAAATATCTTATAATTAGAATCGTTATTTATTAAAATTGTTATTAGAATTTGTTTTATTTTGAAAATATCTTGATTGCTCACATTGTCTTCGAAACGATAGAGCGATAGAGCGATAAGAGTGCAATGGGACGAGGATAAAATTGATGTCTGGCTTGGTCCAGGAGTTACGACAATGCGCATATAGGAGATATAACGAAATGATAGATACGGCGAAACGTACACGAGTAGCCCACAGCATCAGCTCAATATCAAGGTTGCTATCAATTTTCCGCTAGTGAAAACTTTGGCGCGCGTGCGTCAGCTTTCACATTCCGCTTTGTCTATGCCGCTCTTTTTTCTATAACATATACAAAATAATACGAAATAAAAGAACACGTTATTCTGTTTTAAGATGCAGCGATATTCTGAAAATGTGCAAACCGTTCTTCCAATAAATTCAGATAGAAGAGATTATTCATATAATTTTGCTTATTGTAAAACGATAGAGTAATATAAAATACGTAAATAAATAAATATTCAGTTTACAGAAAATTGTAAATAATTTTGCTTTCAAGCCTCTCTCGTTTAATTTTGATCGTAACGATGAATTCTTACAAATATAACCATAAAAGAAATTGTCGGTTAGAAATGAATTTCCCGAAAGATTGTATATGTCGAGAGAGATCCATTATTCGAAGAAAAATTTAAAAAATATTGCAGGTAACCTCTGGTATTGCATTTGCATCACGGGCAAGCTCAAATTTATTCATTTTTGCATTCTATTATACGAGTGCTAGCGCAGCTGCATCGCCAGGGGCCATTATTTCTGCCTTGCTGACAGATTCAGATACGCGCGTGCTCAAATGAATGTGTATGTCGCGACGTAATTTCTAATTTTTCGTAAGGTTCTCGCACCTTTCAGTAATTCGTTTTTACGCGCCTGTCACAGCCGTGCGTGTACGGGATAATTTGTCATTTTCTATGTACATCATGTCTCCCCTTTATAGCAGAAGATTACGGCAAAAGCTGCGCGTGTGATAAGCTGTTTAAAAAAAGTTATCTCTTAAAATAAGTAGAAAAACAAAACTTCCTCCTCTATGAGGAAGCAAAATGTACATTTTTCACAAATTTATATTCTTCGTTTATGCGTGCTCAAATGAATGTGTATGTCGCGACGTAATTTCTAATTTTTCGTAAGGTTCTCGCACCTTTCAGTAATTCGTTTTTACGCGCCTGTCACAGCCGTGCGTGTACGGGATAATTTGTCATTTTCTATGTACATCATGTCTCCCCTTTATAGCAGAAGATTACGGCAAAAGCTGCGCGTGTGATAAGCTGTTTAAAAAAAGTTATCTCTTAAAATAAGTAGAAAAACAAAGCTTCCTCTATGAGGAAGCAAAATGTACATTTTTCACAAATTTATATTCTTCGTTTATTTTACTTTTATTCGACCAAGTTTCAGCGTAAAAGTTCAATATAGAATTTAGGACGATCGAATCGTTATTGCCATAAAAGAGCCTTAATGTATAGTTAAAACCGAATCGAATTGCAAGATTGCTGTTTATCAATGCGTTCGATCATTGGCAGATATCTTCTGGATACATCGCACAAAATGCAGTTTCTTATCATATAATATTATCTATAGGCAATATTATCTATAGCTAACAAATCCACAAGGGCGGGTCATCATAACTTCCAGTGTATTGACAGATCTGTCACATGCCTCTTTCATAAATTGCCTTTATTGGAAATACAACTGGTACTTCCCGATATTTTATTGCTGGTGGAATTTACAAAAAAATACACGATGATAAATTTTAATTATCGCAAAATTCACGTGACATACGCCAATTTATATTCTTGCAATTTATATTCATGCAATTTATTAGAAAATGTGTGTCCGATATAATAAAAAATGTTGTATAAAAAAAAAATGAAATAAAATAAAACACTCGCAAAAATATATACAGATAATTTTCGAAGTTTTATTTGCTTTTTATATCCTTTTCTGATACTTTAAGAAAGATTATATGATACGAAAGATTATATGATTGTTGAAAAAACAATAATCTTCAATCAAATATATTTATATGTTTAGTCCTCTCCCTGTATCTGAACTTTCTCTGTGCAACATTTTAATTCTGCGACGTAAACGTTCACTTTTTAAAACCTTCAATCAATATTCATTAGGATGCTTTCGAATATATTAGCGCAACTTTAAAACGTCTAGTGTACTGGACGATGTATGCAAATGTCACACGTCGGACGATAGACCGCGATACGTGGAACAAATCGTCAGCAATTATGCAGTGCATATATCATCGTTTTTCTGAGAAAGAATTCTCTCTCTATTTTTGTCATATAATAATACATGTTTTAATACACATACGTATTATCCTCTTTTATAAATATCATTAAAGAAGAGAGCATAAGATATATGTGGAATGCAGATTTAAAACTTCAATTTTTTATTCTCCGACAAAATTAATCAGTATATATGTAGATTCGAGTATGTCATCTTTGTCAAAGACAGAGAGAGAAAATTGAAATAATAGCTTTATGATTATGTTAATTTCCGCATCGAGTGATGATTTCAACAGAGACAAATGCAATAACACGAGGCCATATCATACAAATACAAGTTCTTGACTCGTCATGAAGATTTTAATATTGCGATATTTAATATAACTGAATATTTAACAAACCGGTTCTTAAAAATGCAATTATCTCAAATAAAAAAGCAATGTCTAAAAAAATCTATCGCGCGTATTAATTGTCGGAAAAAAAATCGCGAATACAACAAAGATTTTATGAAATATCTTGTAAACAATTCGCGATAAAAATATTGCCTAGTTAATGTAAATTCGATATTCGGAAAAAAAATCGTAAAAGAAAATAGAGAAAGGTCGAGAAAATGAATTGGTATCGATCGCCTGAGACGTATAATCAAATACGTAACGTAGAACGTATAAAACGCCTCTAATCGGCATTGCCGTATTCGTATTCCTTCGTGCGCTTGTTGAAATATCTGCATATCGTTATCTGTTCCTCTCTCGAGACCGCGTAACGGATATTCGCACGAACGTGTTACCGAAGCGCGATAGTACTCGATATCAACTTCACAGTTACGAACAACTCGTTTGAGTAAATAGACAGGGCAGTTTTGGCGCACGAACTTGACGAACTAGATAGGGCGATATCTTGTATGTAGAGCGAGTATCGACAACTACCAGGATGTTTACGTTCTTCCGAGGACTTATTTGGAAGTAGACAACTTGAGTTTCTTAACGAGTTTACGAGCTGTCTTGTGTAAGAGACTTGCCTTTGTATCTCGTAAATAAATCAACTCCGCAGTACGATTTCGAAATATTTAACGTTTTAATGAATGCGAATATATATAAGAATTATTTATTTATCTATATTTTTTATTGTGTATATATATATATATATATATTTTTTTTTATATCTTTAAATAGTATATTTAATGCGATATAGATTTTTTGTCATCATAGCTTTCGATAATGTGTTTCAAATAATTGTTTAAAAAGATAATTCAAGGAACAGATAAAAAGCTCAAATTAAAACGAGAGATTTTGAAAATCTTTTATTCCGTCTTCTTTTAGATGCCATACGTAAAATATCGAATAAAACATAAGTAATTGAATTTTTTTAACAATAAGTATAATATGAATTGAGAGATTAAAATTATCTAACATCTTTTTTCTTATCGTTGATCTCGTTATATAATAGATGCACGATAAATTTTATACGCGTTTAAGTCTGGATAAAGCCAATATTATCTACACAGTAGCGGCATGCTTTCTTTTATAGCTGACCCCATAAAATTTTGTAATTATGCGGTTTATTCGTTTAATTGTTAAATATGACGGGAGAGAATTGTGAAAAGCAAAGGTTTTTTTATTCCTCGTAATGTCCGAAATTGACATATATTTTGCACGTTATCGGATTTTTCAGAAGATTTATCGTTTGACATATGCAAAAACCTGCGAAAAATGCCGAATAGCGGATTATCGACAGGTCCACTTTACATAATTAGGGCAAACGGGGGGAATATTACGAATGCAAGGCACTTGGCGTATCGGTACTGACCTTCTTAACTTGAAAGTGCTCCGGCCTCAGGTTCTCGACGATCTCTTGGTCGGGCTTGACGGGTTGCGGGACCGACGACCGGAACCCATCGAGTACACCCTTGATCGTGAACTTCTTCATCGCGTCTGCCAAATAGGGTCGACCACTCGGGGGGGATCACATGTGCAACCGCGCCGTTCGTCCCTCCGTTCGTTCGTTCGTCCGTCTGTCCGTCCGTTTCCGTCCTCTACGAAATCACGGCCGGGATTTTAAGATTTAGGCTCGTCGTCTTCTCGGCTCGTCAAACGAGCTCAAGCTCGTTCACGAAAATCCAATGACATATTCGCTCGCTCGCGCTCTCTCTCTCTCTCTCTTCTCTCCTTCTCTCTCTCTCTCTCTCTCTCTCTCTCTTGGCACGGGTCGACTCTCCCGACACGGTGGACGTTGCTCTGCCGCGGAGCCGATTCTCTACATCTTGACAGTACGTGTCAGCGATACCTCAATGATGTAAACGTGTGCTCGCTCGCTCGTTCGCGCACCAAATCTCCAGGTACAGGTATCTCGGAACCCACACGAGGACGACGTTTTATCGGTCAACGCTTTTACGCCGAGCGCGAACGCGACCGAGACGTGGCGAGAATTGTTTTCGTAGTTGACGGCAATGCGGTGTTGTTTAATCGCGCCAGGATCAATAACTGGCAACAGGCTCATGTGGACTTTCGCACGGTTGCGAGTGCGAGCTACGCAAGCGTAGTACGAGTAACGCGCAGCCGCGCAATCGCGTGCGAATCGCGCGCGCGATTGGTTGGACTAATTAGCGCGTCGTCTGCTGTACGAGCTGTCTTTCAAGCTGCTTTTACACGTTACAAATCCGCAAATCCTAAATCCTACGCGAATACCGTTCGCGTTATTCGAAAGATGGATAATCGATCCTGTTATTCAGCCTATAAATTACATAATTACAAACAGAGAAATAAGCCGTTTCGCAATCTTGCTTGATGAATTTAATGCTTTCATAGAAATGTGCCTTTGCGTGGCTCACGTTGGTTCACGTGTATTGTTATTTCATTTTGGCTAAACTACCGATAACCTAAATGCTGGCATTTTTATATTTTTGCATTGACATCAATCAATATTCGATTAACGATTTTGACACAACATTTTGCAAAACCTATTCCTAGGTATATCTCAGCATAAACTGAATATATATCTTTTTACCGTTTCTTGCAACAATCAATTATCGAGCATTGAAACATTTATGACATACAAATTTTCTTAATTTTTAACCAGTTATATATTGATGTTTTAAAATTTATAGGATTATCTGAAGACGTAGCAAGTATATACATCGAAGCTGCAACACGATGACAAACACGGGAGGTAAAGTAGTCGCCAATTTGCGACAAAAGTTTGTGTTGTCTCAGAAAGCAATACGTTGGTTCCCCGGACATATGACAAAGGGTTTGAAGCAAATGCAGCAACGATTAAAAAATGTCGATTGCATCCTAGAGGTTCACGACGCACGGGTACCAATTTCCGGACGTTATGCGGATTTTAGTAGGACTTTGACAGGCTTGAAACCGCATATACTTGTATTGAGCAAAAAGGACCTAGCAGATACAAAATATTCAGAAAGTATTGTCTCTACATTGAATAGAGAGGGCCTATCCAATATAATATTTACAAATCTGAAGGATGAGAAATGCAGGAACATGAAGAAAATCTTACCCTTAGCCAAGAAGTTAATATCTAATTCAGCGCGTTACAATAGAGCGGAGGAAGAGTCTTATTCCATAATGGTTATTGGTGTTCCCAATGTTGGAAAGTCCTCTCTAATTAATCGTTTAAGAAGCCATCACCTTAACATGGCCAAAGCTACTCATGTCGGCGCAGAAGCTGGCATTACACGATCTGTATTGACTCGCATAAAGATATCGGAAGACCCAACAGTATATCTGTTTGATACACCTGGTATTTTAGCTCCTTCTATTAATGATATCCATGCTGGTTTCAAACTGTCTTTAGTAGGATGTTTGCAAGACCATGTGGTAGGAACAGAAATGCTTGCAGATTATTTACTGTTTTGGCTAAATAAGAATGGCCGATTTGAATACGTAGAAAAGCTGGGTTTGTCAGCACCAAATGATGATATAATATATGTGCTTACATATATTGCTGCAAAGTTTAAAAAAACTATGATAATGAAAACCTTTGATAGACGAATACTTACACCAAATTTACAATTTGCAGCAGATTATTTTATTAGCTTATTTAGAACAGGAAAATTAGGATCTTATTGTTTAGATATAGATTTAATAGAAACGTCACAAGATTGCGATATTAGATTAGCCTAATGATGATAATGATAATTATATATAAGTATATATTATATTGGGAACCTATCTTATTTTGTACATACAAACTGCCAAAACTTTTATATTAAGCAAATATATAATTATTATGGTCGGTAAAACAGGACGGTCCGGCATCCTCTTAATATCAAAATATTTTTAATTGAAAAAAATACAAGTTCATAAATTTTATACATCTTACCTAAACGATCTTAAAGACTAGGAAACTATAATTTTAGAGAAAAGAATTACTTCCCAATTATCATATCTCATCCTTGAAATCCAATTTTACTGTTAATTTTTCGCATGTTAAAACGTAACTGAAAATTTTATTTTAGACTCCCTAATACATATATATAGTATATTTCCATGTATGTAAAATTATGTACATTTATTTTTTCATAATATAGTATATAAATATTTAAAAAAATACAAAAGTCTGAGCAACTGCTATACATATATCTAGGAGAATATATCACTGCAATTGCATCTCAGTCTCTCCATCATCGTCTTCTTGCTTTTATAGACATGTTAATGTCTACTTTGTAGTTTAAAATAATTTAATTTTTTTAATTAAAATTTTTTTTTCCTTTTTCCGGGGGGGGGGGCACGTGCCCGTTTTGCCCCCCCCCTGCGGACGTCTATGACTTTGTACTCCAGGGGAATAGATCAAGTAGTCGCATACGAAATCGTTTAGATACAAAAGATAGCTTCCGTTTCTTTCATTCGTTGCGACTCTACCGAGATAAATATACACATGAACGTATCGCATCGAAAAGAAACGCGAATTACGGGAAAATTAAATAAGATTGATTCAGTTTTCGATTTAGTTAAGAGATCAAATTTATCGTTATGTATACGTGTGATCGGGAACTTCAGAGCTGAGTGAAAGTTTCACTCTGAGGCATATTTTTAATTCTCTCACTCGAACTAATACGACACTTCTTTGAAATTAATTTATAGCAAAGATGTTCGCAAGAGTAACATTTTATCCAACCTTGTTTTACAACGTCGTTATGGAAAAAATCACTACCCGAAATTGGTACGATAGGATAGACGAAACTGTCATATTGGGCGCCTTACCGTTCCGGCGAACGACGAAGCAGGTATGTCTTCTACAAAATTTTAATTCATACTATTTTTTTTATTAAATTTAATTGAAAAAGAGCTCATATGATCATTGATATTTTGCCTGATATTTTCTGAGAAAATCTCATAAACGTGATAGTTCTTTCGATAGAAATAGTTTACTCATAAATTACTTTATTAACAATATAATGTTTATGATTTCCTTTTCTTTTTTTTTTATTCTTATTTTTGCTTTATAATATATACATTTTATATATATATATATTTATTTAATTATTTATTCAATAATATATTAAATGTATCATATATTTGAAATTATTTGGACAAATATAGCTTCATGTAACAGCTACTAAATCATAATGTAAATATTGGAATAGTTATTACATATCATTTACATTTGACACAATTTTTCTTTTCTGTTTAAGTTAATTGACAATGAAAATATTAAGGCTGTTGTATCTATGAACGAAGATTACGAGTTGTCTTTATTATCTAACACAGAGAAGGTATGTGTGACAGTAAAACTTAAATTTTCTAAATAAAATAGCATAATAAAAAAGCTATCATATGTAAAACAATCTTATATGTGCAAATTAGTAATATTTTTTTTTTCCATCAGGAATGGCACAGACACAATGTAGAATTTCTACAATTATCTACAACAGATATCTTTCAAGCACCCTCTCAGGAAAAACTGCAGAATGGTGTAAATTTTATTAATAAATTCCGCATTGTATCAACTAGAAAATTGGGTAATCCACCAGATACTATTAATAGACACAGTCAACCTGGCACAGTTTATGTTCATTGTAAAGCAGGAAGAACAAGAAGCGCAACATTGGTCGCATGTTATTTAATAATAGTGAGATTATATGGCATGGTTTAAATGTAAAAGCATTCAAAGGTTATTTGAATCATTAAATCATAAAATGTTTTGTTCTAGAAAAATAATTGGACACCCGAAGAAGCAGTAAATTACATGCGAACAAAAAGACCACATATACTGCTCCATACAGTACAATGGTCCGCGTTAAAACAATTTTATATATATATATAATTTTATTACATTATTTATGTAAATGGAGATAATGTACAAATAGATAAATAAATTTTGATCATTTATAATTAGATACACTATCTATATACATCATATGTATTTGCTAACTTAAACGAAGCAAAGTAAGAGTGAAAACATAAAATAATCTATCATAAATATGAATTTATTACAATTATATTTCTAGCGCTAATCATAATTATTTTTAATAAGTACAATCGCCTATCGATTTTTATTAGTAAGTTCTATCTTTCTTATATGCATGGATGCAAATTTAGTAGCCTCGGTCACTGCTTTTTCTATATGTATCTGAAAATCCTGTGACACCTGTGTAGATTTCATACTTGCAACTAACATTGGTTTTAATCCTTTAATAGGTCCTTGCTTTGCATTAAAAATTTGAAGGACGACATCCATCCAGATTTGTGCATTAAATGCGTTAGAAACCATTTCCTACATAGAATAATAATTACTTATCCAGATTATCGATTTAAATATAGATCATATATTGTACACACACATAATCTATATTAAAATCTACATTTAAATGTGTGAATGAAATATAATACCTGTGGTACAGAACATCTTGCTCTTACAGATTCATTGGTACTGGATAGTACTAATATTGGTACTTTAGAAAAGAGAGATATAACTTCATGCAATGACAAATATATTGGATTTTTATTTAGGCAATGTACGATAAAACAAGACGATGAATCCATGGTATCAGTGATTTCACGAATTATAGAAGTCCTATAAAATGCCATTATTTAGAATGAAACAGATGATTATTTGAATAAATATGAGATATTACATACTTCTCGATTTCTTTCTCTTGCAACCATATTGCTTTACTCAAATTTTCTAGGTGTGTTAAGCATTTCTCTTTAGTTAGATAAGAATATGATATTTGCATATTTGAATCATTAATTTCTTGTTTTATTCGGCTTATTTCTTCCTTAAATTGTTCATATGTGAATTTGCCACTTTTTAACGTTTCTTCTAGCTCCGCAATTCTCCGACATATTTTATCACCAGCCTGTTTTATACGTAAAGCCTCTCGGCCGACAACAGCTTTAACAGTGCGCTTTGTTGCTCCCTTTGAGGTATATGTTAAAAAGCAAAAGTGTTGCAAAACACTTGTATTATGTACATGAGTGCCGCAACACGTTTCCCTATAAATATATACAATAGATATTAATTGTTAAGAGGAATTTAGAAAATTCCTTGATGTCTAAAATTTGCACTTACTAACTTTGCTTTCAAATTGTCAGTATTGATTTCTATGATTCTAATGCCTGTATAAGGATATATTTCTCCAGGAATCAATGTAACATTGTCTTGTTTTAATAGCTCAAGTAAATTTAAAGTTTGTACAGTTGTTGCAGCATGGGTTTGTATGATATTATTAATGCAATCTTCTATTATTCTCATTTGTTCTAACGTAAATTGCTCACCAAATGAATTAAATTGAAATTTTAAATTATCCACATTGACTGTACAACCACTTTGATACACTACTTGCATAACTTTTTTTAAGGCTGCATTCAATAAATGTGCTGCTGTATGATGTTTCATGGCTCCAACACGAATATTTGTTTCTATATTGACTAAACAATCGTCTCCCATTTGTAAATAAAGTTCTGATGTACTAAAAAAATGTATAAATTTATTATATCAAATGTATTGATTATTTAATGAATTTTTTATGATAATTGTACAATTGGAATAATTTTATATAAGCATCTAAATATATATATATATAAAAGATATTTACGGTAAATCTGTGTTGACAAAATATCCAGAATGAATCACATAACCATTTACTTTTCTAACATTGTCTATGTTGAAAAGTAGATTCTTGATATAAATATTTCCTTTATCTGAAACTTGGCCACCTTCTGATGAATAGCATACAGTCTTATCCAATATAATGCCGATTTCATCGGCATCGGTATTGTTTAATATCTCTTTAATGTTTATAGCTTTTCTATTATTAACATTATCAATTTTTGTAGTTTCGGAATAATTTTTATTTATAACTAATTCACCTATAAAATAGATATTAGCTTTTAAAGTTACATTAAATTATATGTTAATCAGAATATAATAGATATATTTATGGGATTTACTTTAATATTACCATTGATAATAATACCAATAATTTTGCTATTAAGTGCTGGAAATTCATAATTATTTCCATTGTATGTATAATTGTATTTGAATGAATCATTTGTTTTAGGTACGTGATTTTCTTCAAGTATTCTCAAAGATTCCTTAGTAAGTATGCTACATTTATCTAATCCAACTCTTGATTGATGTCTACAATTATCAAGTTGCTTTTCAAAATCGATTTCATCAAAATGTAATGACTCAATTTGTGCTAATTCCGCTATAGTTTCTGAATTAAGGCCATATGTATCATACAGCTTAAATGCGACAGTTCCGGGTAACACGTTAGTTTTACGCCTGTAAATCACATATCATGAATTATTAAATATATTAATGTATTATGTTATACAACAGATGTACTAAATAAGCGATTTCTTTATCTATATCAAATTCTCTTATCTTGTTTCAAATATCTTACAAGTCTTTCAATATGGATTGCAATTCTTTGTAGCCATCGACTAGACCAGGAGCCATCCAATCAGTGATTGATGCTAGTTCAGGACGAACTTCGATCATCTTATTCCACCTTTTACCAGAAGTATCCCGCAACCTTTTGAATAGATCTTCCTCAAAGTCTATTATCCTTTGTACCTGACAAATTGCATTCAACAATATTAAGACCATATGAAATATAGTCCAATGTCTTTTTTTGACAAGAACAATTTTAGTAGTATTATTTTGCATTACCTGTTTCAGATTATTGTGCAATTCTGGATAAACTGCACTCAAATTATCAGCTACAGTGCAGGCGAGCTCAGTAACTATGCCAGGTTTTTTGAATATTTTCTCTCCCACATCTATAGCATTTCGTAATATTCTTCGTAGTTTTTGTCTAATAAACCATAAAACATCTCTTTTTACTATTGTATTTACATATAAATTTAATGAACATATATAAAAAATGCTATATACTGAAATATTACATACTGTTGCTCAGGTAACATATTATCAGCTAATGCAACAGAAACCATTCTCGCGTGATCGGCGAGAATTCTGTAACCATAGTCAAGTTTGCCTGTATCATCATCGCCAAATGTCCCTTTATATTTTGGCGTGTTCGAATGCTTTTGTATCGCATCAAATAATGGCTGGAAAAGATCTGTATCGTAATTTGATTTTTTCCCTTGTAGAAAGGTGGCTAATCGTTCAAGTCCCATGCCTGTATCAACATGATGTTTTGGTAAAGGTACTATACATCCATTTGCAAGCCTAACATAAAATATCATAATATTTAATAGACTATGCAATTTTATAACTCATACAATTAAACTTTGTCATATATTATATGAAAAAGAAACTTTTACAAACAATGTATAAAGATTTAATAGATAAAGTAATAAGACAGTAAGTAAAATATATTAAAAGCATTACTTTGTGACTTAACTAATTTAAAGCATTCGATATATTCCTAACTCACCTTTCGTATTGTATAAAAACTATATTCCACAATTCCATAAGATCTGCATATCCTTTATTCACTCGTGCAGCTTGATTAGTATTTCGTTTCATATAGTCTACATGTATTTCTGTGCAAGGTCCACAAGGACCTGATATACCCATTTCCCAGAAATTATCTCTCATATCAAAAGGTAGAATTTTGCATTCTGGAAGACCAAGTTTTAACCAAATATTCTTGCATTCCAGATCTGGACCCATGCCTAACTTCTCATTTCCACCGAAATATGTTACATATAGATATTCTTTAGGTATACCATACACATTTGTTAGAAGATTCCAAGCATATGTGCAAGCATCTTCCTGAAAATGGTCATATTATATAAATAATATCTCACAAGTATTGACAAATGTGTAAACAATGTCGTATTATATATATTACACATATATATACTTTAAAATAATCTCCAAAGGACCAATTGCCAAGCATTTCGAAGAATGTATGATGATAACTATCATTACCAACAACACTTAAATCATTGTGCTTCCCACCAACTCTAATACACTTTTGTGAATTGACAACCTTTGTCGCAGGTGGTTTGTGATAATCTAAGAAGATCCCTTTAAACTGAAAAGATATTGTAAGATAAGAAACATACATTTATTGACAGATTTCTTAATAGAAATAAATCTTAGAAAAAAGGTATACCTGATTCATACCAGCATTGATGAATGCTAGTGATTGATCAGCAATTGGAGAGACAGGACTGGAACGAATAATACTGTGTTTTAAATCTTTGGAAAAATAATCTAAAAATTCTTTCCTGATTAAATTAGCAGGTTTGTTGTTGCTAAACTGATTGTACAAGCGAATGAATTTATAAAAGGTCATTCTCTTCGTTACGGGATTAATTATCGCGCATAAATAATACATAATATAAATAATTAAAATAGTCAGCTTTTATATAAAAATCCACACGTATACATTAGGAGTCATTGGAGATCACTCTGTGTTGTATAGCATGGTTAGGACATGTGGACAAAAATTCAATCGATATCTATCTGGAATAAATATGTGTGGCATTATCACAGTGTTCTTTATTATCAATATGTTAATAAGTTTTATCAATTTCAGACTTTTAAAAATGCAGATGTGGTATTGATAAAAATTGATATACGAATATATGGAAAAAAGTATTTTAAAAATTCGCGCTTAAATTTTAATCGCGCCATCTCTTGTCAAATCATATCTGTTATATCGGGACGGTTTATCAAAGTTCGAAACCCAGCTTTTAAAATTTTAATTAGCAACATCTTCAGTTTGGTTTACAATTTATATCTGCAATTATTTAAATATAACAATATATTAATTAAATAATATAATAAGAAAGATAATCATATCAATAATAAGAATATTTATTAAGATGCCCATTTTTTGAATCTTCGCACTTTTTCTATTATATATTCTATTCTATCTCGAGAAATCAACAGAATTATTAGAAGCTAAATAGTTCGATCAAATAATTTAAATTTTTATGTCGTGTAATTTTTTTAAAGCACAGAGAAAGATGTATTTCATACCAGTTAAAAATCTAACTTCTAATTATAAGGACAATGAAAAATAGCGATTTTGTGTAAGAAAAATTTTTCATATCAAGCTATATCGTCATTGTATTACATCACAGTTGGCAAATCATGATCATTTTTTGAAGTAAAATAATTACTGTTTTAATTGTAAGAAAAATATACGAAGAGTAAAATTCAAACATAAAATTTGTTAACGGACATTTTTCTCAATGTCTTATATTATTTATAAGTCCAATAAAAGAAATCGAAATTATCATAATTTTTTTTTTGGGATTACCAAAATATGTATATTATTGGTTTTATTAAAATATACATATATTATGTATATTAAAAATATATTAAAAGTGTTAGTATATAGAGAATATTTCTTATTGTATAGTGAAAAGCATATCAATGTAGTGTCACGTATTTGAAAACGAGTATGCAGCGTAATATTATGTGGCGACTGTTAATGTTTGTTAAAATTACGTGAGATTAAGTATTTCCATACTAACATAATATTTACGGGGCGACGCGTGGCGGGCGTAGAGTCGCGGCCTGGTAATCGAGAGATCCAGGTTCGATTCCGCTCGAGGTCCCCATCTTTCCCACATGCCTCAAAAAAGGTTTTTCCACAAAATATCATATAAAACTATTAAATTGATAAATTTATATTTTAACAAATATTTTAATATATACATATACATTTACATAAATTTACATAAACATAGATTTGCTCTTTTTTCTTATCCATGTAATAATGATACGTCGTAATTCTTTTTCAGATACAGAATAAGATTTATATTTTTACCAATATAAAAAAATTAAAAATTTATTTAGATTTTTAATTAAATGAAGATTTTTAAAAAATATGTTACACGTGTAATTATTTATTATAAAATTATAAAATATAAACATTGTACATTATTATTATATTTTGTTATAAGATAAATATCATATAAAACTCTATCCTTCCACTTCCCCATATGCCTCAGAAAGAGGTTTCACACATTATCCTTATAAATATGTAAAGGTGTAAAAATACATACGGATATATCTGTTGCTTCAACGAAGCTCATCATTTCTGCAAATCTAAATGTCCCCTATAGGGGGACACGTGGATCCCACAACGCTGGGATACCTTGTATAATTTTGATTAATTGTTCATCACGGTACTCTTGGGATTCTTCGTAATCAGTCATATTTGCAAATTCAAAAAACGACTGTGTCTGCTCCTTGCGAGCAGGCTCTTTTATATTTTTCGAGCAACGATCCTTGTCGTTGCTCGCCGCCAATAGTTTTACTCCACTTTGAGATGTTCAAATTTCTAACGGGGCGCCGAGTTTAATTGGCCGCCGCGTGAAAATTCGCGTGGATTTTGGCGCGAGATCGAAATTCGCGCAAGCGATAGGCAGGCGGCCTATACGTCACGACCTACGTCACGGCCTCGCGCGTGTCGGTACCGCAAGTCGAGCGTTCAACCGTCGGAGTTGTTTTCGCACTTATTGTCCTGGATGCCCTTTGGACGTCCTAAGGACATCCTTGTGCTGTCTGGGTAATATCCATATTATTATATCATTATAATTTATATATTATTATATCATCATTATATTATTATTTATTACATTATAAAATTCATTGATAAAATTGTATTAACGTTGCGTTTAAATAAATAAAATTATATTATAATAATTAAAAATGAAGAAACTTATAATCTTTATTCTTGCATTTTAAAACTTCTTGCATATAAATAATTCTATTTAAAAAATTTTTTATTTGTTTATTTAGAAATTCGATTTGTTTTAATAAAACTATATAATTTATTTTTGACGTAAATGTATTTTTCCTGTCATATTACATATGAGAGAGAAAGAAAAGGATAAAGAGAATGATTTTAAAAAGCAAAAAATTAGATATACATTTCCTTATATACATAATTTTTAACGTATCTGTTATTTCGTTGATTACCAAGGTAAACTTTTAATGCTTGCCAAAAACGAACTCGCGAAAAAGCAACATAAAGTTGCCCATGATTAAAAACAACATCATCATAATCATCATCATAATTATCATCATCATTAATAAAAAAAACATGGAAAGTCCATTATTGCTTCTTTTCCGGGATACTGATTAGTTGTTTCGAAACTCGATCTCGATCTCGATGTGAGTCGCATATTTTGATTCATATCTGTCAAAAAAGAGACAGAGAGAGGGAGAGAAAGAAAGAAAAGGAGGAGAAAGGAAGGCACTTTATTTAATATTAAAGAAGTCGAAGAATAAGCGAGATAGAGGTAGATAGATAAATACAAAAATAGATAGATAGATAGATAAAGAGAGAGAAAGAGAGAGAGAAGGAAAAAAGGGAATATAAGAGAGAGAGAGAGAGAGAGGCGTTTTGTATGTGTGTGTGAAAGTTTGTGTCTAAGAGGGTTAATATACTCTTAATATAATTACTTATTAATTATTTAATAATTAATAAGTGTTATAATTAATAAGTATTAATAGCGTGTAATAAAAACCAGTGTAATGGCGCGCGCGTAGCGCGAACTAAACTTTTGCGATATTAGGAGAACATGGTTTGGAAGAAATTTTGTAGCTTGCTTCAGCTCGATTTATCTCTTGTCGAATAATATACTTTAATAACTATGACTTTTCGAAGATATTATAATTGCGAAAGATACATATTTCAACATTTGCTAATCTTTTGTCTAATCATGTTTCTCTTTGATTAACTCTTGTACACCCAAGACATATTAGGTCTGTTCTTTACAGCTGAACTGGCTGCACCAGTTCAGAGCCCATTCTTCTCCTTCCAATGGGGAGAGAAAAAGATAAACTCTGAACCAGTGCAGCCAGTTCAGCTGCAAAGAACAGACCCATTACCTCAATACATGCGTACGCATCATATTTATAGATTCGTGCATCACATCACATGACTACCAAGTCTGTGGTTCTATGGTTAAGTCAAGTGTTTTGTTGGTTATCCGTGGAAATCGAAAGTAATCTTTCAGACGATTTTTGTGCACTTTAAGAAGGACAATATGTAGGTTTAATCCAATACACAAAATCTTTCTAATTAAAAAAAAGACTAATACTTTTTCCAGCTTTTTTACATTGTGTAATAAAAGATACGTATTTTTTATAGCTACTCGTGTGGGTGCTTGGTTCGCGATAAATTACTAATTATTTTAATCACAATTGCAACATGACATCTCTTCTCAACGAGGGAAACGAGGTTCTCGTTATATTGGGAAACGAAGCATCTTTTCCTCATGATACGGCGGAATTTCGTTCTGCGATCAAACAACGTATTGGACACCTTGGCAAAATGCATGCCACAAATTTGTTGGATTTAAAAAAGGGTAAGTATGTAACTTTTATTTGATTTGTGTAAGCATTTTTATCATATTAATAATTACTGATACACACATTGTTTTTAGAAAATTACAATGCATCTGCTTTTAATGTCATTATTGCCATTTTTATACAACCATGCATGACCGATGAATTCCTGACAGAGGCATTGAGAATTCTGAAACCTAATGGTTTACTCATCATTTATGAACCATTACCAATAGAGAGAAAGTTGGATACACAACTTACCTATTCTGAAAGAATATCTAGATTAAAGTTATCCGGTTTCATAGTAAACAATATAGAACAAAAGAGCTTGGATAAAGATTTAGAGAGTAAAAATCTTTTGCTGAAAGTATATAACAATGCAAAAGATATTTGCAAAGTATTAGCAAATAAACCATCATTTGAGGTTAATTATGTATTAATTAGTTTATATTTTATTCAAGGAAAGAAAAATTTTTATACATTTTTCCTTAATAATTTAGGTGGGTTCTAGTGTTCCTCTATCATTCACAGACAAAAAATCTAATGTATGGAAGGTAGATGATTTGATAGATGAAGATGAACTTTTAGATGAGTCAGATTTTGTGAAGCCAGATGCATCATCCTTAAGAGGTAAAGTTAGCATAGTTAAAAATTAAATATATCATTTTTATATTGTATAATTATATAAATGTAAAAATTTACATTAAATTTTTAAATCTGCTTGTTTCAGTTTGTTCAACAACGGGCAAGCGCAAAGCATGTAAAGATTGTACATGTGGACTCGCAGAAGAATTAAATAATAAAACCATACAGGAAGGCACTGTTAAATCTTCTTGTGGAAGTGTATGTTTTATATTATTGGTGTTACTGCGATGAAAATTTATGCATATGCTATATTTAATTATTTAGTTACATGAATTGAATATTCAACATTTTTAATGAATTTGTTATAGTGTTATCTTGGAGATGCATTTAGATGTGCCAGTTGTCCTTATCTTGGAATGCCTGCCTTTAAACCTGGAGAGAAAGTAGTTGTGCCAGATATTCATTTAACTATCGATTCCTAAATTCTGTTTTTCATGACTGTATAAATGGATATTTATTTCGATTTAAGGAAATAATTGTGTGCTGTTTTTATATGATTATTTCATATGGTTAATTTAGATGATTAATTTTGTCTGATATATGCATATATGTATTTAATACAGATAAATGGATATATAATACACAATTGTTCCTTAAATAAAGACACTTCAAATCTATTTATCAACAATTAGAAAAATTGTTTTAAATGTAACAACATTAAATAATAACAATACAAGAGATAATCATCAATAATAAAAATATCTAATTATAAGATTTGTAGTAAAATGTACACAATTTTCATGTAAATTATATAATTGAATCTTCATACTTGTTCTTAATCTCGAGAAATCATCAGAATTATTAGAAAAATATAATTTAATAATATAATTCAATAAGATACATCAAGTATGAAATAATTAAAATTAAGATGCTAAATTCTCGATCTTAGGAAAAAATGATTTGGAGGAATTTAAATATTTGAATTTGCAGTTAACTTTAATTTGGTTAGTTCTTGTCAAAATATATTTTCCTAATAACTTCCGCGATTTATCGAAAATATAACGCGCGAGTAAGATCTTATTTTAATCTTTTTCTTACTTTAAAAATCACTCTTTTATTTAATTAAAATTATTTTATTAAAAAAATTACAGCATGTCGTCTTAAATAATCTTAATACACGTCTATTATATGATTATATTTACGTAAATTTTTTGTAGCCAACAAACGAAACAAAATTTTAATGTCATGTTCATAGCATTATTAAAGTTTCCTCTCATCTATCATGATGAATTTATTTTATACATATAACACTACATTTAAACCATATGCAACTTTTTTTAAAAACGCTTTTTTTATCATACATTATTGATGTACATATTATTGCAATATGCAAGTAACCTTTATATAATTGCGTTTTATTATTTTGAGCTTTTTAGTATATTGTACATCAATTTAAAGCCAATTGAAGCAATTTATAGTTAATCTAAACATTATATCGACATATGAATTTTAAATTTAATCCTCGATTTCTAAAAGATCGCCACCCATAGCTTTCCAAAAAGCAGTGACTACTTGTTCAGCCACTACGCGTCTTTCGTTTGTTGGTAGAGATGCTGCATGTTCTTTCATGTCCATAAATTGACCAAATAGCTCTCCAAAGTCTGCATTTTCATCACCCATAATGCTATCTGTAAACATCTATGATAGAATAAACGACATTATACTTTGCACATTTACTTTTATATGATTCCTAATTTATACTGACCAAGCATGTCCTGCATACGTAGCCTTTCGGAAGGATCGCGCGATAATCGAATATTTTCAAATTGTTCTTCAATTTCATTTACTTTGAGTGTTTCATCCACACTCGCTGTATCTGTAACAAAACACATTTTAATTTTTGTATAAAGAAATGAGAAATATTTATGCACACATATTTTCTTTTTAATAGCAGAGAAATTTGTGATACACTACTTTTAAATACAATATCAGGCCATGTGTGAGCATGTAAAGCTTCTATGATTCTTTCAATACCATATTTATTACCCTCTGTATCGGATTCTGAATCTCCTGTTTGATCTAATTCAACCAGCTCAAATTTGTTATGTAAACACCAATTTAGCACTGAAATGTATAAAATAATTAACTTTGCAATAGAATAAATATTATATATATTCATACATTTTCTATATAAAATGACATGAAATATATTCAGATAATCAATGTGCGCTTTTTCATAAATGTACCTTTATCTCGCAGCAGTATGTCAGTTATTGCACTGCAGGAAAATAAAAATACTTCTGCTGTTGTCAATAATGAATTAATTAAAGATGCCAAGTGTTCTAATTCTTGATCCGCATTGTTCTATAGAAATTGATTGCCATCAACATATATTAATTTAATCACTAAATTTCCAGTGCAATTATGTATCTTACTGCCTGTGTATCATGGTATATGATCAATGCCTTGATTCCTTCTACTGGGAGTTCATAAGATATATTTTCTATGGTGCGTATTAATAACTGTGATGTGTAGTATTTGTTATCAATATTCCACTGATAATCCATAATGTCATCTTCTTCGGATAATTGTTCTGCACCTATGTCTGCATCAGACATAATGTACACAAAGTATAATGTTATAAGAACTTAAAAAATTGTGAAAGTATAGCCAATTTTATACTATTCGAGCAGAAGTAATAGAATTGTAAAATCGTAGCTATACAGAAATTTCATAGAAGCTATTATAAATTATAAATTTCTATTACAAATTTCAAGTATACACAATGTTAATACTTGTACTCACTTTCTGCGATTTCCCTAGCTTTTCCTTTTTTCGTACTAACGATCAATACTTGAGGCAAATTCATTATAAACAATTGAAATTTATATCCAAGAATTATTAATAGAATGTGAATGAGCTATAATTGAATAAAGCTATTAAGTTAGGTTAGATCAGATGTTGGCTCCCACTCCTCAACACTCGATCTAGATATACTATGTCTATGGTCAGTACCATTCAGAACAGACACAGACTAGGGATGTGTTCGGAAAACACGCTTATGCGTTTCTTCTTCTTCTTCTTTTTCTTTCTGTTTCTCTTTTATAGCCACTTCTGATCTAGGATATGATCAGAACATTCTGGCCAATAACTGGTTAAAAATGCTTACGCGGTACGCGCTAAAAGCGTCGTTCTATCTTTGTTATTTACTGAAAATTGAACAAGGACAAGGCACGCTCATAGGGCCAAAAGCATGCTTTCTGAACGAATCCTAGCAGTACTTAAAAAGAAATCATTTATATATATATACACTTTCATTTGTGTATGTGGGAATTTGGTTTGTTCAATGAGAAATATTGATGAATGTCACATAAGTTTATTAATTACTCGGATAACAGTAGTATAAATCGGCTCGTTATTATAATGTGGAGATCGCCTGACATACGTGTTTGCAGTCTCACATTCAACTTAACTATGCTCGCGCTCCCTTTTGGAGATCGTCAACGCCTCGCCTCGCTCGGCCACCTCGTTTCGCTCGCTCAGATAATCGCGATTCCCACATGTATGACGTATTTTTTGCCAGTTAAAACGCAACACACAACATATGTAATTCCATAAAATGTTAGCTGCTAGAAACAGGACATATAAAACTACCATGCGAGATATATAGCAAATATATCAATAAAATAAAAGATATATTAACATGAATTAGAAATTAAATTCAAATTTATATATGTGTGTATCCATTTATGAAAAGCGAATGTATATAAATTGCGACTAATGTTTAAATTGCATTTTTTGGATATAAATTTCTTTCAAATATGTTATATTGTATGTTAAAATTTCAAAAAATATTTTTTATAGATGTAAATGTGAAAACATATTTATAAAATCACAATAATGGGTATTTTAAATTTTGAAAAACTTGGGCTCTTTCTTACTCGCACGTTTTATCCTTGCAATACTTTTAGTTCTTTACGTAAATAAAAAGTATAATATATTATTGATTGTAAAAAATGTTATTAATAGATAACAATTTTTTAACTACAAAGCAGAAATAAATAATTTATTCATTTATTATTTTTACAATTTGATTGAATTGTATTACGTAAATAGATATTATACAATCACCGAAACGGTGGAAGTCCTGAAAAAGATAATTTATTGTAAATATGCTGATATTATTTAAATAAATATGTGAGATTCTGTTGACCATGATAAGAACATTATTTTCAGTTGAAGTTACCCAATGTAACAGGAATTGCGTTATTACTATGAAGTGATAATTATCCTTTTCGATGTATGCGTGAAGCGCGCGAAGTTACAATATATAAGTATTATTAATATAAAATATCTATAAAGTAAATAAGAAGAAAACACAATTTTAAATATTATTTAATTATTTAAAGTGAAAGATTATATGCTACTATTTTCATTATTTATTGATTATAAATTATGAGCAAGTTATATTTTTCGATAATTTATCTTTTTAGCAATTTATTATCCAAATGTCTATTGTCACGTATTATTTCCTGGCATTAACAGAAGTTTATGAAAAAAAAATGGAAAACTGTAAAAAAAACTAACATTTTGAATTGGACAGAAAGGCAAAAAAAAGAAAATAATTTATTACATTATACATATAAGCACTATTAAAATTTTATTATTTAAATCAACAGGATGAAAAATATATCTCCGTCCTTCAACTCTATCAAGTTATTACTATCGCATATCAACGGAACCGTCCAGGGATTTTCCGCCCAAAGAAAAAATATATAAAAGGGTAAATGTAATGAATGACTTCCACATTGTGGTAAAGAACTTTACAATTCATTTATTGTGTAATTGAAATCCCTATCAATCGCAGGTTTTTCTGCGAACATGAGACGATTCATTCTTCTGTAAGTAGTAAAAATTACTTTTTTAATATGGTATTAAACTATGGCAGTTCGGTTGGTAATTATATAATATTGATTAATTTTACAAAATAATACAGAATCAATACAAAATTAAAATTTATTTATTATCTCGATAATTAATGCTCATTATTATTAATCAATCATTAATCATAAAAACATTCAAGTGACGAATACTTTCGTTAATCGTGAATATATCACAATTCTCTTTGTCCTATAAATATATATTAATTATTTTAATAATTATTTAATAATTAAATATTTTTTCTTGGATGTGTCTCTTTACAGTGCCTTCGTTGGCACATTGCTAATGAAGAATGTTACATCATCAATTCAATCATATCCTTCAAATCTGGCATGGTTGTTTGGTTTGAATGATAAAGTAAACGATAGCAAAGAGGCCACAAATGTGTGTAAAAACCAGGAGTGCGAAAAAATTGGTATTGAAAATAGTTGATCTGATTAAAAATTGAAGTGTTTTAATTATCTTATTGGAGATTAAATATTTGAATTTATTGTATCTTAATTTTAATTTTGTCCAGCTAAGGTAATATCAGAGAGTATGGACAAATCTCTGGATCCGTGTGACGATTTCTACGAGTACGCTTGTGGAAAGTGGCCGGAACATAATCCTATTCCAAAGGGAAGTCGTTCGTGGAGTTTATTCCACATGCTTCAAAAGAATGTAGAACAACAAGTAGACGGTAATTAGTATGTTATATTATATGTATATGTAATCTGTTGCATCAACTTTAATTCGAAAATTATATAACATTATAATAACATTGAATTCTGCAGATATTTTAAAAGAAGGACCCAGAAACAGCGATATTTTGGCGGTGAAGCTTGCGAAAAGGTGGTATGCGGTCTGCATGAATACAGGTAAGTACGAGTAGCTCTCGAATCGTCGAATCGCGATACAAAAATTATTTTTGGATAATATAGTAATTTATTGCCTTAGATGCGATGGACAAGCAAGGGCTTGACCCATTGGTTACCACTATATCGCGTATAGGCGGCTGGCCGATGATAATGGACCCGGACGAATGGGACGAGCAAGAGTATAGTTGGCAAAAAGTGGATGATAAATATTTACGCTTGACAGGAAATAATGTTTTTCACGACGTGCGCGTAAACATATATAGTCCAAACAAGACCGTAAAGGTCAGAAAAACTACATCTAAATTAAAATTACTATCTTATTTCAAGTAAAAAGTATTTCTGTGATAGATGTAATTAATAATTCAATTTTGTGTATCTCTCCGCCATTAAACATTATGTATTGGAATAAATCTAACTCAAAAATACTTATTTCGATTTTCTGTCAATGATCAGATTAAATTTTTTTTACATGTACATTTTATTACTAGATCGGTACTCCGCATTTACCTCCGAATTCATTCAAACTATGGATTGGAAACTTATACGATAGTGACGAAATAGAAGACGAGAATGATGACGACCCGAGTGACGAGCAGGATAATCAGAAGCTTGAAAGCGAGGATGATGACGATGACAACAGCGAGAACAATGACGATGACAATAGCGATGACAATACGAACGAACAAAATGAAGATAAAGAAGCAAAAAAGAAAATCAGCAAAAGAAAATCTACAGGCAAGTTTAGTCATAAAAAAAATAAAAATATACAGCATAATAGAAAAACAAAGAGTGGCACCCCAATTCTTAGAAAACACGATAATCATAAGACGAAGAAACAAAGAGTAAAAAGACAAGCTACACCGACAAAGGTTCATAGCAAACGCGCTCAGCATCTTACTCATCGCGACAAATTGCGGAAGAGCAAAAGAAATCATGTAAGAAAAGCGCAGGACGAAGAGAGAACGAAGGAAACTTTGGAAATGGTATCTACATCGACTACACCGCAAATAACGGAAAAAACGAGTGAAGGCGATGTAGACGATGAAACCGCGCAACAGATATACGCTAATTACATTTCGAAAGTAGCTCGCGCTATAGCTAAAGCGCGAGGCACTGAGGTCTCAGAAGAACACATCGATAAAGATATCGAAGATATGATCAAGTTTCAAGTGAAACTAACGGAGGTGAGCGTCATACTGTTACACTGTATTGTCAGACTGTAAAAGAGAAACTGTTTAATAATGATATGCTTCAGATTGTTTTGGACACTGAATGGAATGAAGACATGGAACTAACGCTCAACGAGTTTCAAGAATGGTATAACAAAAAAGAGCCTAAAACCGTATTGTCCATAATAGTTTTATATATGTGTGTATGTATGTGTTTATAATTTATTTAATACAATCATTTATTTCTACTATCTATAGGCAGAGGATATGTTTGATGATATACAAAAGGAAGTGGAATATCAAATTAAAGAATCAGACTGGATGGATGAAGATACTAAAGATTATGTTTTCGCAAAACTAATGAACATGAAGAAATTTATTGGATATCCAGATTGGTATAGAAATAATACTATCGTTAAACGATATTTTCAAGGAGTGAGTTTCTTAAGAACTATTATTATTAGTTATTAGTTTATACCTAGTCAACGTATATGTCTAAAAGACATTTAAAAAACGATGTCTTATCGTTCTTTAGATATTTTTAAGATATCTTTTAATCTTTCTGCGCTGCATATAGTTAACGACTGTTTTGTTTAATTATTTTGTTTTGTCAAAGCTCATTATCGGCAATTCGTATTACGAGAATACGCTTAGCTACAGCAGATATAGTAAATGGAAGCAGCTACGGGAATTAAAGAAGGATGAGGATGATGATGATATGTAAGATATTTTGATATTCGATGCATTTTTTCCTACTTGTTGAAAAAATCACAATTTATTTTCTCTTAACTCGCAGAATAAATGTTAATCTTTATACCCAAGAAATTTTGTGTTACAGATGGTGGATGAGCCCATTGACAGTAAACGCCTTGTTCTCCCCGTGGTCGAATTTTATAAGTATATATATGTATAATGTAACATGTTTTTTTTTAATAATTATGATTTAAACATTCAAAAATTTGCAATTATATTTTGCCATTTTGCCATTAACATTATTATCTTTTTCTATCATAGTGCTTTCGGCGGCGGATTTCCAGAGTCCATTTTTCGCTTATGGTCGACCACAGTAAGTGAATAATTAAATTAAAATTATCAACGCGATATGCATAGCAATAAATACAAATAAACTTACGATTGCATTATGTCTCTCTATAATAGTTCTTAATGAAATCTTTTCCTTAAGTATCTAACTTCATTCTAGAGCTATTAATTATGGTATTGTTGGAGTCATCATGGGTCACGAAGTTAATCACGGATTCGATGATGATGGTATGTTGTGAAATAAAATTGTACTGTAGGCTGTTTCACACTTTTTAAATTATATTAATATTATAATAGTGTAGAGGCTTCATTTTCTTCTAATTTATATATCTGAAACGCTATGTAAAAATATGTAATATGAGAAAGACGGAAAAAGAGACAAAAATTATTTTTAGGGATCTTATACGATAAGAATGGTGACTTCGTGGAATGGTTATCTATAATGTCCCAAGAGTACAGCAAAAGAGCAAGCTGTTTTGTAGAGCAATTTAATAATTATTCCATTCAAAAAAATTCAAATAAGAAAATAGAGGTACGTTACTTACTCTGTACTTAATTACCGTAAGTATCGTAGACAATGATTAAAAATTATAAAAATAAAATTATGGCAATAACAATAATAATGAAGGCAAATGTTTCTTAATTTCATATGAAAGCACTGTGGTAAAAATTGTAGGTTTGGTGCGAAGCTACTACTGGTTCGAATACTACTGAGAGACATGCCAGAATGGATGTACATAGTACCGGACGTTTGAGGGTGATAGGCTCTGTTTCGAATTCAGAAGACTTCGCCAAGGCTTTCAGTTGCCCTGTTGGTAGTGCAATGAATCCCGAAAGAAAATGCAATATCTGGAAGTAACGTAGAAATCTTATAAATCAAACTTGTTTAATACGTATATAAAAATATTCGACAAAAATGTTTTATCCAGCATGTATATCGATGAATAAACTTACGCACATCGTGTAAAAAAGATTTATCATTTGTGTACTGAATTTTTTTCTCATGTTTGAAATCTTTATCACGATCTAATCTTAATTTAAAAAATATCTCGCATAAATTGTTTATCCAATTGTATTGAATAGAATGGCGCAAGTATCATATAAATAACACTTGTTCTTTTTTGACATTTTCGAGTAAAAAGTCTCCCGTAAGTTCAACGTCATGATTACGATATAATAAAACATTTTAATAGACTTGCATTCATTTCTGATCAGAATGCAATTGAAAAGCAATCCTTTGCCAATTTTTAATAGATAGAGAGGTAAATGAAGGATCGTAGCAAGAAGTTTTATTGATAAGTTGTAATATTTCGTGCATAATTCATAGTCATTCCTTATAAAGAACATTACTCAAACAATGTTTGAGTAATAATATGTTCATCGGCAGAATTATTATGTGCTATGCATTATCGCGACATGTTACGCGTACATAAACACCATCATTTACTTTTGTGGAATAAAACGCCATATACATATATATTTTTTCTTTTTTCTTTAAACAATTCATTAATTTTCATATTTCTGTATAATAATTTTGCGATCCAATTCGGCTCAATTGTGATACAATCTAGTACAAACAAAAATGAAACTACTGTGTGGATATTCTAATTATGACTTTTGTCTAAAATATTTTTTTCTAAAATGCATTGTTTATGGTTATGAGATATTCGACTATTTCCAGACTTTTGGGACATCCTGTATATACTTTCCTACATATATGATGTATTTTACCAGTTGAAAAGTTACACAGATCATATGTATAATTTCATAAAATGAGCGATTCATCAGCTGCTGAATGGACACAACCTTGTATAAAACTATCATGCTAAATATACATATAACATTTATTAGCCGTATTTTAAAATTTAGTACTACTAATGAAAATATAACATAATAATATGAAATATTATAATATAATAATATATAATTATTATATATGTTTATATATAATAGAAATTTTAATATTTATTTAATTTTTAATACATAATTTCTTTAGAAATAAATCACTATACACACAATAAAAGATATAATAACATGAATAAGAAATGAAATTCAAATTAATGTGTTTGTATCTATTTATGTAAAGCGAATCCAATCAAATGTATATAAATTACAACTAACGTTTATCTTGCATTTTTCCAATATAGAGTTCTTTTAAATATTTTATTGTGTGTGTGTGTGTTAAAATTACAAAAATATTTTTTATGGTTGTAAATGAAAACATATATTTATAAAATGACAATAATAGGTATTTTGAATTTTGAAGAACTCCTTTTTACTCGCATGTTTTATCCTTGCGATATTTTTAGTCTTTTACGCAATTAAAAAGTACAATATATTATTGATTGTAAAAAGTTATTACCGAAAAACATTTTTTTAATGCAAAGCAGAAATAAATTTATTCATTTATTATTTTTACATTTTGCTTGAATTGTATTACGTAAATAGATACTATACAATCACCGAAACGGTGGAAATCCTGAAAAAGATAATTTATTGTAAATATGCTGATATTATTTAAATAGATATGTGAGATTCTGTTGACCACGATAAAAACATTGTTTTCAGTTGAAGTTATCCAATGTGACAGGAATTGCGTTATTACTATGAAGTGATAATTATCCTTTTCGATGTATGCCTGAAGCGCGCGAAGTTACAATATATATGTATTATTAATATAAAATATCTATAAAGTAAATGAGAAGAAAACACAATTTTAAATATTATTTAATTATTTAAAGTGAAAGATTATATGCTACTATTTTCATTATTTATTGATTATAAATTATGAGCATGTTATATTTTTCGATAATTTATCTTTTTAGTAATTTATTATCCAAATGTCTATTGCCACGTATTATTTCCCGACATTAACAGAAGCTTACGAAAAAAAAAATGGGAAACTGTAAAAAAAACTAACATTTTCAATTGGACAGAAAGGCAAAAAGAAGAGGATAATTTATCACATTATACATATAAGCACTATTAAAATTTTATTATTTAAATCAACAGGATGAAAAATATATCTCTGTCCTTCAACTCTATCAAGTTATTACTATCGCATATCAACGGAACCGTCCAGGGATTTTCCGCCCAAAGAAAAAATATATAAAAGGGTAAATGTAATGAATGACTTCCACATTGTGGTAAAGAACTTTACAATTCATTTATTGTGTAATTGAAATCCCTATCAATCGCAGGTTTTTCTGCGAACATGAGACGATTCATTCTTCTGTAAGTAGTAAAAATTACTTTTTTAATATGGTATTAAACTATGGCAGTTCGGTTGGTAATTATATAATATTGATTAATTTTACAAAATAATACAGAATCAATACAAAATTAAAATTTATTTATTATCTCGATAATTAATGCTCATTATTATTAATCAATCATTAATCATAAAAACATTCAAGTGACGAATACTTTCGTTAATCGTGAATATATCACAATTCTCTTTGTCCTATAAATATATATTAATTATTTTAATAATTATTTAATAATTAAATATTTTTTCTTGGATGTGTCTCTTTACAGTGCCTTCGTTGGCACATTGCTAATGAAGAATGTTACATCATCAATTCAATCATATCCTTCAAATCTGGCATGGTTGTTTGGTTTGAATGATAAAGTAAACGATAGCAAAAAAGCCACAAATGTGTGTAAAAACCAGGAGTGCGAAAAAATTGGTATTGAAAATAGTTGATCTAACTAATAATTGAAGTGTTTTAATCATCTTATTGGAGATTAAATATTTAAATTTAATGTTTTTCTAGCTAAGGTAATATCAGAGAGTATGGACAAATCTCTGGATCCGTGTGACGATTTCTACGAGTACGCTTGTGGAAAGTGGCCAGAACATAATCCTATTCCAAAGGGAATTCGTTCATGGAGTTTATTTCATATGCTTCAAAAGAATGTAGAACAACAAGTAAACGGTAGTTAAATATACATAAATAATCTGTCGCATCAACTTTAATTCGAAAATTATATAACATTATAATGACATTGAAATCCGCAGATATTTTGAAAGAAGGACCCAGAAACAGTGATCTTTTGGCGGTGAAGCTTGCGAAAAGGTGGTATGCAGTCTGCATGAATACAGGTAAGTATGAGCAGTTCTCGAATCGTCGAATCGCGACACGAAAATTATTTTTGGATGATATAGCAATTTATTGCCTTAGATGCGATGGACAAGCAAGGGCTCGACCCATTGGTTACCACTATATCGCGTATAGGCGGCTGGCCGATGATAATGGACCCGGACGAATGGGACGAGCAAGAGTATAGTTGGCAAAAAGTGGATGATAAATATTTACGCTTGACAGGAAATAATGTTTTTCACGACGTGCGCGTAAACATATATAGTCCAAACAAGACCGTAAAGGTCAGAAAAATTACATCTAAATTAAAATTACTATCTTATTTCAAGTAAAAAGCATTTCTGTGATAGATGTAATTAATAAATCAATTTTGTGTATCTCTTCGCCATTAAACATTACGTATTGGAATAAATCTAATTCGAAAATATTTATTTCAATTTTCTGTCAATGATCAGATTAAATTTTTTTTACATGTACATTTTATTACTAGATCGATACTCCGCATTTACCTCCGGATTCATTCAAACTATGGATTGCAAACTCGTACGATAGTGACGAAATAGAAGACGAGGATGATGAGGATCCGAGTGACGAGCAAGATAATCAGGAAATTGAAAACGAGGATGATGACGATGACAATAGCGATGACAATACGAACGAACAAAATAAAGATAAAGAAGCAAAAAAGAAAATCAGCAAAAGAAAATCTACAGGCAAGTTTAGTCATAAAAAAAATAAAAATATACAGCATAATAGAAAAACAAAGAGTGGCACCCGAATTCTCAAAAAACACGATAATCATAAGACGAAGAAACAAAGAGTAAAAAGACAAGCTACACCGACAAAGGTTCATAGCAAACGCGCTCAGCATCTTACTCATCGCGACAAATTGCGGAAGAGCAAAAGAAATCATGTAAGAAAAGCGCAGGACGAAGAGAGAACGAAGGAAACTTTGGAAATGGTATCTACATCGACTACACCGCAAATAACGGAAAAAACGAGTGAAGGCGATGTAGACGATGAAACCGCGCAACAGATATACGCTAATTACATTTCGAAAGTAGCTCGCGCTATAGCTAAAGCGCGAGGCACTGAGGTCTCAGAAGAACACATCGATAAAGATATCGAAGATATGATCAAGTTTCAAGTGAAACTAACGGAGGTAAGCGTCATACTGTTACACTGTGTTGTCAGACTGTAAGGGAGAAACTGTTTAATAATGATATGCTTCAGATTGTTTTAGACGCTGGATGGGAAGACATGGAACTAACGCTCAATGAGTTTCAAGAATGGTACGACAAAAAAGAGTCTAAAACCACTAATAGCAAAGTAAGTTATTTTCTCGTAATTAATTTTGTTTGATTTTCATAATACGTTATTCTTATATTTTTTATGATTGAATTCACAAGATTAATACGATAGAAATCTCTTAAACCGCAGATTAATTGGGTGTACAAAGTTGCGGAATTATTTGACGAAGCTCACGTGTCCGTGGATGGAGATTTAAATCTAGAGATTGGTTCATCAGATTATTTTGAAGCTCTTGTCTCTTTGCTGGACGAGACGTCGAGACGAACGATCGGTGAGTTTCAAAAACAATCTAATAATTAATAATGTGATTAATAATGAAACGTCGTCTATACATCCGCTCATGGAAAATATGTTTTAGTGAATTACATACACTGGAACTATCTGAGTAAAATGATAGAAACTACAACGAGTGAAATGAGAAAATTATACTACGCATGGGAAGATTGGCAACAATGGGAAGAAGAAGATGAAGAAGATGAAGAAAATGAAGATGAAGAAGATGAAGAGGAAAGCGAAAGAGAAAGGAGGTTTGATGTGAATCTTTTTGGTCATCGTTAACAACATTGCCTTTTGATTAAGAAAACATAATTAATTATTTTGCAACGTGCAAAAAGATAAAGCAAACTATATGTATATTACTTTTGGTTTATAACGTAACATAATCTTAATATATGTTTTAAAATATTGTTAATGTCTCTCTATATTGTATCGATGTCAAAATATAATAATATTAAATGTTGTCACAGATCGTTCACTTGCCTGGGAAAAGCACAACTGCATGACATTCTAGCGTACGAGTATGTAAAACGACATTTCTCAGATGATATTACGAAAACAGTAAGCATTTAATATTAATTGTAAACATTGATGCAATTTATTTCCGTCATTGTCCGTAATAGTTTTATATATGTGTGTATGTATGTGTTTATAATTTATTTAATACAATCATTTATTTCTACTATCTATAGGCAGAGGATATGGTTGATGATATACAAAAGGAAGTGGAATATCAAATTAAAAAATCAGACTGGCTGGATGAAGATACTAAAGATTATGTTTTCGCGAAACTAGTGAACATGAAGAAATTTATTGGATATCCAGATTGGTATAGAAATAATACTATCGTTAAACGATATTTTCAAGGAGTGAGTTTCTTAAGAACTATTACTATTAGTTGTTAGTATATACTCTATTGTTAGTATAGAATCAACGTATATGCTTAAAAGACATTTAAAAAACGATGTTTTATCGTTCTTTAGATATTTTTAAGATGTCTTTGAATCTTTCTGCGCTGCCTGGTTAACGATTGTTTTGTTTAATTATTTTGTTTTATCAAAGCTCATTATCGGCAATTCGTATTACGAGAATACACTTAGCTACAGTAGATATAGTAAATGGAAGCAGCTACGGGAATTAAAGAAGGATGAGGATGATGATGATATGTAAGATATTTTAATATTCGATGCATTTTTTCCTACTTGTTGAAACAATCACAATTTATTTTCTCTTAACTCGCAGAATAAATGTTAATCTTTATACTCAAGAAATTTTGTGTTACAGATGGTGGATGAGCCCTTTGACAGTAAACGCCTTTTTCTCTCCGGACGCAAATTCCATAAGTATATATATATGTATAATGTAACATATCTTTTTTCATAATTAAGATTTAAACATTAGAGAATTTGCAATAATATTTTGACATTTTGCCATTAACATTATTATCTTTTTCGATCATAGTGCTTTCGGCGGCGGATTTCCAGAGTCCATTTTTCGCTTATGGTCGACCACAGTAAGTGAATAATTAAATTAAAATTATCAACGCGATATGCATAGCAATAAATACAAATAAACTTACGATTGCATCATGTCTCTCTATATTAGTTCTTAATGAAATCTTTTCATTAAGTATCTAACTTTATTCTAGAGCTATTAATTATGGTATTGTTGGAGTTATCATGGCTCACGAAGTTAATCACGGATTCGATGATGATGGTATGTTGAGAAATAAAATTGTACTGTAAGCTGTTTCACACTTTTTAAATGGTATTAATATTATAATAGTGTAGAGACTTTTCATCTAATTTATATATCTGAAACGCTATGTAAAAATATCTAATATGAGAAAAAGGGAAAAAGAGAAAAAAATTATTTTTAGGGATTTTATATGATAAGAACGGTGACTTCGTGGAATGGTTATCTATAATGTCCCAAGAATACAGCAAGAAAGCAAGCTGTTTTGTAGAGCAATTTAATAATTATCCCATTGAAAAAAATTCAAATAAGAAAATAGAGGTACGTTACTTACTCTATACTTAATTACCATCTAATTGAAATTACTGTTGTTTCTGCATTCAGAAAATGTTTGATCATGACAAATTCTTGATGAAAATTGTAGAACTATGGCAATCAAACGTCGGGTGAGAATATCGCGGATACAATGGGATTACAGGCATCATTCCGAGCTTATCAAAGAAGAGAAAGAGAGTGCGGAAAACCGGATACCGTATTGCCGGGCTTGGAAGAAGTCACTAACGATCAGCTCTTCTTCCTATCCTTTGCCAATGTAAGTATCGTAGACAATGATTAAAAATTATAAAAATAAAATTATGACAATAACAATAATAATGAAGGCAAACATTCCTTAGTTTCATATGAAAGCACTGTGGTAAAAATTGTAGGTATGGTGCGAAGCTACTACTGATTCGAATATTACTGAGAGATATGCCAGAATGGATGTACATAGTACCGGACGTTTGAGGGTGATAGGCTCTGTTTCGAATTCAGAAGACTTCGCCAAGGCTTTCAGTTGCCCTGTTGGTAGTGCAATGAATCCCGAAAGAAAATGTAATATCTGGAAGTAGGAATCTTATAAATCAAACTTGTTCTTCAATACATATATAAAAATATTCAACAAAAATATTTATCCATGTATCGATATACACGAATATACGATGATTAAACTTACGCACATCGTGTAAAAAAGATTTATCCTTTGATTTATACTGAATTTTTTTCTCATGTTTGAAATCTTTATCACGATCTGATCTTAATTAAAGAAACCTTTGCGTAAATTGTTTATCTAATAAGTAGTGTATTGATGAATGAAATGATGCAAGTATCGTAAAAAACACTCACCTTTTTTTAATAGTTTCGAATAAGACGTCTCCCATAAGTTCAACGAGATTATTACGATGTAATAAAACATTTTAATATGCTTGCATTCATTTCTGATCAGACTGCTATTGAAAAGCGATGCTTGGTCAGTTGTAGATAGATTGAAAGATGAATGAAGAATCGTAGCAAAAAGTTTTATTGATAAGTTGTAATATTTCGTACATAATTCATAGTCACTCCTTATAAAGGACATTTAGATGTTTGAATAATGATATGTTTATCGGCAGAGAGAATTACAATTATATTTTATGCATTATCGCAACATGTTACGCGTAAATAAAAACCATCATCTACTTTTGTGGATTAAAACACGAAATATATATATATATACATTTCTTTTGACGGTTCATTAACTTTCATATTTCTGTATGATTTTGCGATCCAATCTGACTCAATTGAGATACAATGTAGTACAAACAAATATTAGACAACTGTGGATATTAAACCGAAATCTAAGGAACATTGCATTCCTCAAGTTCTCTGTAAATGTGTGTACTACACGTGACAGACGTCTAAAATATGATTAGACGGAAATCGAGTACATATTTTTGAATGTAATATCGATTTGATTTTCGTAATTTAATGTCATCCGTTCTGTTTCTCGTGTACTCCGTTCTGTTTTTCCTGTGATTTTAATGGTTTTATTATTTCTATCTCGTTCAATTGGTCAAGATCCAATTGCTGTTTCTTCTTCTTTTTCTTTGATAGTTTCCTAAAAAGTATTTTTTAACAATATTCCCCATTTATTTATCTATAGTAAGAGTAATAAATTGTGAAATGAAATAAATAATAAAATATCGAAGAAAACTCACTTTCCGAACAACTCGCCATCCTGAATCGTTTCAGGAAGCTTCTTGTTCAATGTCTCCGGAAGAAGAAGGGACATCAAGCCGCCAAATAAGGCGCATGTTCCGAAAATAACGAGTGGCAATGGTGTCCATATTTCCGACTGGAAGCATGAATAGCATATAATTTTATTTAATTTTGTATAGTTTATAAAAATAATTGCTAATTTACCAAGAACGTCAATAAATTTAATTCTTTTTTTCTGATATCGAGAGAAGTGCGTGATGAATACAACGTACCAGATGATTAACATATGGTGCGATAACTCCGCCAATTCGAGCAAAAGTGGAGCTTGCACCCAATCCGACATTTCGGATAACAGTCGGGAATTGTTCTGCAGTGAACACATAAATTGCACCATAGGAAGATGTGATTGCAAGTTTTCCTATCATTGCCAAGCAAACGACTAGCCACGGCATATCTAAAAAGATACATAAACTTTATAATTACAAGATAGACTTTTATGAATTTGCCTGAATTTTATGAATCGTTGTGAAATAAAATAAATGTTACAAAGTTTTGCAGTATCATATTAAACGAAACCGCATATTATTCATTGGCTCTCACCGGCAGGGACAAACAATGTAGCAAGTAATGCTAATCCGGACAACATCATACAGCCGCAAAGGCTGATTTTCCTACCCCATCGATTCAGGGTGAAGATGAGAAATGTATACGCCGGTACTTCCACTATCCCGGATATTACAAAATTAACGTAATCGTTACCGCCGAGATTGGACGCGTGCCAAGACAGTCCGTAGTACGTTCCGCTGTTAACTAGCCTAATAAACGAGAAAATCAAACTTTGTACATAATTATCAAATAAAAAAACGAAAGACATGCAGCCGATGAAGCAACTAGTACCAGTTGAAAAACAAAACGATGCTTTTTCGTCTCAAGTTCGGATAACGGAACAGATCGAAGAGTGAAGGTTTTTTCGTATCGGGCATACTATCCTCGCTGTTATTATTAAGAAGTGTGTCCAAAGCTTCACTCGGCATCTCCACGCCATTTTCCAAGGAAGCTCGTTGCAGCAAATCCTTCGCTTCTTGGAGACGACCTTTCGTCAGGAGCCATCGTGCCGATTCGGGAATAAACCTGTCACGAATTGGATCACCGTGTGAATTGTAACACCTAACTGGAATTATATTCGTTATGTAGAATATATATTATTTGTCTCGTACCACCAATAAAGTAGAAACACGAGGCTCGGTACCGTAAGGGCTATTTGCAGCATTCTCCAATTGGTAATAAAATACGCAAAACCTGCGGTGAGTATGTATCCGACAGTGAAAAACAACTGCACGCCGACTCCGGCTATTAACCGCTTTTTCGGACCGACCATTTCCAAAGCTGAAAAAAATTAATGCATTACGGCTTATATTATATTTATATAACGCCTGATATTCGTACGATCCAATCAAAATTTCCGAAAAGCTCCCGCATAATGTATCGGTTAATGTTGCGAAATGACAGTCAAATAATATAATCAAATTTAGTTACCTATGACATAAGCTACTAAGAACACCCCACTGGTGGTTGAGCCGACAATTAGTCTGAAGATTACGTAGGAAATAAACTCGGGCGCTACAGCGACTAATATACCGCCGACCAGCTGTATGACTAAAGACAGGAAGAAAATTGGTCTACGTCCATATTTATCGGACAAACCGCCGAATATCATCGAGCCAAGCATGACTCCTACCATAAACAGCGAGTCTCCCGTCGCTCTCAGCCATGCCTTGTCGCAGACCAAATCCCACTGCGCGGAGAAATGATATCATTTATTATCCATTGTGAAAGATATAGACATATATATAAATAAGCGTCTGTATCTCTTTGCATATATTTATTTATGTATTTAAATTGTGTGCGTATGAATTTCTGTCCATCTAGGAGTTTGATTTTCATGTGAATCTCATTTACAACAATTGATAGAGAAAACGGTAAGAGAATTCTATTTTGCAATGAGAGAACGGAATAATTGTTATTCTATACCTCGGAAGTGGTTGTACTTTTGTATACGCTTCTATCGTACACATACTGCTTGCAACGACTACTGATCCCTCCTCCTCCAGCATTGTCGCCAATTGCTTTTTCAACGAACGTACCGTTCGCGGCGCCGATCACATTACGGCTCAGACACTGAGACCACTTTCCAAGTTCGTCGTCCCACGGATAGCTCGCGTTTAATATGTCCTGACTCAGATGGAACGTGGCGTTCTCCGCGTACTCGTTCGGAAGTAAACATCTAAGACAAAGGAATTTTCAATTTACCGTAAGTACACCCGTTACATCGTAATCCACCCCTGTAATTATTACGTTCGCTCAAACTGTACCTGGAATCTATTTTAGCTCCGAGGAAAACACCGGCCAATTTGTGAAAAGCACACGATATCGCCGGAAGACAAAGCAGAAGATAAACTCGGCGTTGATAACGACCAAATTCGCCCATACGAAGGATAACGTCGTCGTATGCCATTTTCTTCCGAAGTACGTTTCCGTTATTTATTCGATGATATCTCTCAGTCTTGCACAAGCTTTTATTAGCACCTTTGTAAGCAAAAATATATCCCTCTATTTGTATTTTAATCGATGTGCGGATTAATAGCTTCGCTCAAGACAGCGAACACAACAATTCATTCTAACGATATTCTGTTGATATTGACAAAATTATCTCTTGTTACAGAGACTTTTTCATCATGATATCCGAAAATTCAGTTCTCGGAAAAATATGCACAATTCACGAGGGCACCCGCATACGTCTTACAAAGAATGTTCCTGGCTTCTCATTCTCAACATTCAGTCCATAGATCGCTTATCGGGCTTCCAAATACATCGATTTATCGGCAGAACAGCGATAACTGAAAAAGAAACTCATATAATATTCATTTTTTTTATTGTCTCTATATTTACTATTTATTATTTATTTATCTCTTTCTTGTATATTTTTATATTTCTTTATTTTACTCTTTCTTTCTTATTTTGTCAAGAGCAAAAGCTATTTTGCTCAATAGGCAATTAAAAACAAATGCGATGATCTTGAAAAATTATCATTCTACCATAAATCACTGAAGATCGATTATTTGTTATTATTCACGCGTGCGCGTGTATGTGTGTGTGCGTATGTGTATTGGCAACTAACAATTATATATTATTATATTCAACTTAAACATGAATTATAAGATCATTGTTCCATAAAAGTCTCAATCTATGTTACATCGTCAGTTAAACGTATCTAATATATGTAAAAGCAATTAGATATACGTATAAAAGAAAGAGAAGAGAAAAGATATGATAAATTGTAAAATTTAATATCAAAATTTAAAATTGAATACTACTCGCTTGTGCGTAGTGCTCTTAATACACATATAAAACCTGTTTAGATTAATTAAACTTAAACACCGTGAAGTGATTCGCGCATATCGTGATTGATACAATTGATACAATTGTCTTTATATTAAGACTCGAAAGAAAGAAGGATTGCAAACGGATAGGAAATGATCAATCGATCGTTATTATATCGCTTGCTATTTCTTTATCTTCTTCTTTTTTCATTTAAATATTAAGATCCATCTTGAATCATATACATATTTAATAGATTCTTTGGAATATTTTTATACTAAATTCGAGTAATATAATATATAAGCTATATATATTTTTTAAAAATAAACTGATACAAACAAATTGTATGTTCTTTTCTCGAATTAAAAATTTATATGGCAGTCAATGTATCAAATCATGTTATAATTAATAATAAAATCATATGTCGCATAATGCAATCAAATAATATAATCGAATAATCAAAATAATATTTCTCAAATAATATTTTTCTTCAAAATAATATATCAATTAATATTTTTGTTAGAAAATGCGGCAGGTTAATATTCTGGCTACGATACGATAAATTTTTCCGAATAACACGAAGGAAAAGTTTCGAAACATTCAATCGCGCAACGTTCGCACATACGTAATGCATTCGCGCGAGCCTCTGTTAGCTTTACATAAAATTATAATTTGAGACATACTACATATGAAATTATATGTGCTATGTTTCGCGCGTCTATATCTATCTCGATAATTACACTGATTGCACGAAGGTAATCGATAGAAGCGGCGGCTGTTGGACGATGTCTCGAGATGAAGGAGTGATTTTTCGAAATGTGCCCGGGCGCGAATACAAACGGTATAAGACGAGTCCGAGCACTTGTCGATCGAATACAACCCGACGCGCATCAAGGACGGACGGAAACTGGCCTACTGGCCACATGCTTTTAGCCGGTGCGACGCGGCGCGATTCATTTGGGCTCGACTCGGCTCGATTCGACTCGGCTCGACTCCGGCTCGGCTCGCCATCTGATTCCGATCCGTTCCAGCGCAGCTAGATTCACCTCGATGCATCGCGCACGTCTCGAATGGAGGATGAGAATTCCCTTTTTCTTTTTTTTCCCCCCATTTTTTTTTCGTTACACAGAGAGATGGATCATGGATCTCGATCTGTCAAAATCGAACGCGATCCTCCCACACGTTCTTTCGTTGACAGATGTAGACGACGGTATTCGAGTAAGTGAAATAAACGCAAAATGAAAAAAATGTGAAAAAAAATGTGCTTTTAGGTTACTCATTTTTAATACTATTCCAATTCGCGATTCAAATGGCGCGAACACAATTCACGATTTATCCGTGCAGTTTATCACGCATGCTACATCGTTTATCGCGATACTCGATAAACCCTGTTCCGTTGCTTATTTCTTGATAATGAGCGACAATTAATCATTGTTTCTGTTAATCATTATTTGTATTCGTGTCGGTTGTTCTTCCGCCTTTTAACTATAATTTCCGTAATTATTTTAAATCAATAATGTTCAGGCAGAAATGCACCGTTCGCCTCGTGTGCTTTGTTAAATTTATTTTTGAACGATACGAGATAAGACGCGTTGTAAAAGTTGTAAGGGCCACGAGGTTAAGAAACCGGCAACAAAGCGTCGTTTAACACGGCTCTTGGTACAACATATATCGCTTTTTCACGTTTTTCGACTTTGCGTATTAATTACGTGTTTCGATATAAACAATACTAATATGCATATTGAAAAATCATTCATGTATGTACACGTATACGTATATACTCATGAAAATGTACTCCAATGCACGTTTAATCATCCATGTACAAACGTTCATTCATATATAATGTACTACTAGTTACAACGGAATGCGATGCGAGACAACCGTTATCGATGTTATCACCGTGTCATCGGTATCATAGTTTTATGAGATATTTTCTGCACGATATTCGAGGGGTCGCTTATGTCAATCTGTATCATAGTTGATAATGCATCAGGCACTCTAATAAAATGCGTTTAACATTGAATTATAAATATATTGCAAATCTAGCAAAATAATAAGTCTCTTGTTTTCTCTCAACTTAATCGCTAACAAAAGTGCTGAGTATCAATTTTTCTCGATAAGATTGTATTATCGCGGTAGAGGATAAATGTATGTAGGTAAAGCTATCTCGATTGTATTATTTGCAGATTTGTTAGTCAATGATTTTGTTTTGACTTGTGCGCGTCACGTAACCCATAATTTATTCATATTATTTTTAAAACGTGTATATTTTTTTCTATAAAGACAGATATGTACATCATTTATCATCTTAAGTGCATAATTTAAAAAGAATGTACGATAATTAGCAGTTCTAATCTTGTACACTTCGAGTTTGTCGCGACGCATCTCCTCGTACTTTCACTCGCTAAGAGAATATGTATTGGTCGCGTAACACACAAGGAATTTCTTTCTTCTCGTTTAACAAAAATTCCGATGCAGATTGCAGATCTCATCCTCTGCATTCTTTTCACGTTGCGCTCCTACCTGCCTAGGTAATATATTCATATTAGTATATTTTGATTTATTTCCTTCCCCCTTCTAATGTATTTGTCTGTTTCAGCTTATCGCGCAAAGGAACGCAGTTCGAGTCGCCGGAGGATAAAAGCCGATTATTCGCACGCGACAGAGATGATTGCTAGACGCATGTTTGCCGGTGGACCAGCCGCCGCCGTCACCGTCGGAGGCTGACATCGCGTCCCGAGAATGAACCTGAAGGCTATTTATAGTAAGGAGCGACTTCTAGTTCCCACCGCGTGAAAAATCACGACTGGTTTCTTGCGAGTAGGAATGGAAGGAGAGGAAAGAGAAAGAAAGACGTAAAGAGTGGCTGGCGCGTTTCAAGTATAAGTCAGCGCTGAACATTAGCGACTCTTTGCGAACAGTTTGATGGAGCATCATTCGTAACCGCGAGTTATTAAGACGGCAACTACACAGGTGTGTGAACTCGAACGACATTGCATTTATCATTGCAATCAACGTTATTATATTCTCATTATTTCGTGATTATCTTTACGCTCAATCAAATTTAATCGGTAGAGAGATTTTGTTGTAATCTAATTATAATTTATTTATCATTTCTATTTAATGTTTTGTGGAAAGATCGTTCAGCTATTCAAACTATCGGCGACATAACGATTGCGTGCCAGAACCTGCTAACGGTCTGCGAACTCCCAACGCGTTTGCTAAAAGGCTACCATTATTTTTCATCAATTTAAACATACACTTTGATAAACATAACATGTCGCTAACAGGCATTCAACAGGTTGTGAAATAGCATATAGAGGCCTATCTAGACGAATTTGCATACCTGCATAGCTTGCATATTTATGTACAAAAAGAATCGATCAATCTAGGTCGACGCTTGCTTAATGCGAAGGATGCCGTATTTCTGCGTTATTAGATACGTGATTGATTTATTTTTCTTATACATACCTATGTATTTATGCAGGTATGCAAATCTACCTGGAAAGATCTTAACAGTTACAAGGCTATTTTTCTGTCGGGCACAGCTAATAAAGGAAGATGCATTATGCAGGGAAAGTGGCAGGAAGAAGATAAAAAAAACGGATGGTCACGCTGTTGCTCTCTGCGATTGTCTGAACATGCCGAATCGCGAGGAAAGATGAAAGGGGCCAAACTATTCCCTCTCTTTCTGAAAAAAAATACAAGACTCGTATCTATCTTATATCTTTTTATATCCGATATTATCTATTGCATATATAATTGTAGAATAAGAACAAATAATCTATTTTTAAAGAGAAAATGTGTCCTAAAGTTATTTATTTACGCGTGATACGGTCTCTGATATCGGCATGGTCAGGCAATATTCTCACGAGGAAATCATAATTTATGTATTTAAAATACTTTCAGCAAATATGATTAATAGAATAATAACAGCAATAGGCTCCGAGTATTAACAATACTAAGTAGGGAAACTGGCAAATAAGAGCCAAAGCGCTGTTATTGATTGGCAAATTTTTTAAATTGTTAAATTTTAATACTAGATATGCATTAAAAATGTACATTTTGAACTGTTTTTTGATCCATCTTCAGCATAAATAGAAATATATAAAGATTAAATTAATATTTTAAAATTTAATTTTCACATTATTGTTGTTGCAGTCGAAATTCAATTTAAAATCGATAATCAGAAAGGAAGACTCACCAAAACCCGCGTAGAGTCTGTGGAAATTAGTGGACAATGTCGAAACACCATCGCCATACGTATATCCGTCGATGGTTTAAAATGTAATGTAAATGTTTACATTTTAAATGTACATTATTAAAAATGTAAATGTAAATATTTACATTTTAAATCATAGACGGATATATATGTAACGATGGTATTTCGATGTTATCCACTAATTTTCACACTCTATACGGGTTTTGATGAATCTTTCTTTCTGATTATCGACTTCAATTTGAATTTTGGCTACAACAATGAATATTGTATTGGTTATGAGTTTTAAAATATCAATTTAAAATATACTAATTTAATCTTTATATATTTCTATCTATGCTGAAGATGGATCAAAAAACGGTTCAAAATACGTACATTTTTAATGCATATCTAATACTGAAATTTAACAATTTAAAAAATTTGCGCACCCATAACCGCGCCTTGTCTCTTGTTTGCCAGTTTCTCCACTTAGCATGATTAATAAATTAATAAAATTAAACCAATCTTCGTCACAAGTGAAATTAAGGAATGTCTGGGAGATCGATAAAATGACGTCCGTAACGAAAAATGAATTAAGAATACGCGAGCCAGACGCTTCATAATGTTAAGAAGACCTCTGTCTCTCTGTATGTATGTATGTATGTGTATATATGTGTGCAAGGGCATTATGCTGCGTCGTGTTGGTTCTCGCTTCGGTCTCGCTTCACATCGTCTGTAGTCCCGCCACGAAGATACAAGAAAAGTATTCGTCCAATCCAGTTTTTTTCTCTCTTCTCAGTTTTTCATTAAACGTGCAACTATGCCGTTTTAGAGTATGCGAAAAATGAACTAGTGTGTGATATCACTCGTAGTATAAAAGAACAACAAATTTCGATATTTATTACAGTCGAATAAAAATAATTTAAATTTTTTCGTATCATTTTTTGTAGGTATAAGAATTATCTTGGAAATAACGCAGAAGATGAGAGGATAGGCTAAATATATGCTATAGCTGCTTCAGTCTTTCAATTTCATATTTTTTATTCAATTACCGAGAATTTTATCAATGACTATTTTCGAATAAGAATTCATGTACATCACGTTCTAAACTAATTTCTCATTATGATTATGATGAAAACGCACTGCTAATTTGCAAACAAACGGTGTATTCCGCTACTTTGCAGCTCCGTGCGTAAGCAGTTCTCTTGCATAAGAAATAAAACTGTCTGTTTTAAGAATCTTAAGTAAAAAAAAAAAAAAAAAAAAAAAAAAAAAAAAAAAAAAAAAAAAAAAAAAAAAAAAAAAAGCAAATGCAAATGCAGTTTGTGTCTCCACAAATATTATTTTATTATATACTTGAAAAAAAAAAAAAAAAAAAAAAAAAAAAAAAAAAAAAAAAAAAAAAAAAAAAAAAAAATGCAAATGCAGTTTGTGTCTCCACAAATATTATCTTATTATGTACTTGTTATGTCGTATGAATTTTTAAATATTATAAATTTACGTTTACTTATGCACTGCAAGCTTATGTTTCGTGAATCTTGAATTTATTTAAAGACTCTAGATATGAAAATCTATGCACTCATTATTTATTCTGCGCAAGTAACAGATGTTTTAAATTATTTATTTAGCTACCGAGGAAAGGCTTAATAAAGTGTGTAACTCGAAATTAATCTAAAAACAAATTTATTCCGATGTTTTATTTTTATTAAAGCGGCCGAATTGTCTTATATACTTATTGTAGGCGAATGAGAATGATTGCGCGACATTAATGAGAGTTGGGATTTTTTTAGCGCCAAATGTGGAATACGAACACAATGCTCATTTATAAATATTACCGAGTCACTATTACTACTTCTATTTGTTTGTCGCAAATTTTATAGCCATTTCTCTATCGCATGCTAAAAGACGAAGTCCTTGAAATTATTTTTGAAGTGTATTATCATGCATACATAACGAGTATCACATAACTCGGACAACTTCCGTCAAAATAAATATACAGTAATATGCGGTAAATATATTGTTGTTTCTTTTTCATTCAGGTAATTTACTCGATTGATGAACATTTGTCAATTGAGACAAAGCGGAGAGATGACCTAAGACAGAAAGAATCTTTTAACGATTTGGATCCAAGGAATCAGATAATGAAACAATCCAGCCGAGTATCATTCAGTAATCCAACAGCGGCAAGGGACACGATACTCGCCACTCGCGTGAATCACGCGAGTGGCCGAATCGCGACATTCGCGACGCAACCTCTACGTGGTCGACGGACGCACGATGCTACAACTCGCATCGTAATTCGATTTAGAAGAAGGATGATGATGATGATACTGATGTAATTACCCCCGTTTGACGTGCCCCACGTTTCCACGGTCGATCACGGACGAATCTGTAAATGGCGTGATTTTATCAGCGGCTCGCCAAATGCCAGCTTCCTGTACGGCATGTAGGACCCGGTGTGACACCACGCGCTATGCCGGCCGGCCACTGGATGGTCGTTCTCGCCGTAGCACTGCCGATCGATAACTTTCGTCAAAAAGGCGTCGCGATACCAGGCGCAACGATATGCACACTCTGCACGTCCGTTCGATTGACTCGCGCGTCCACCTTTCTCTCTTGCCTTCGGAATGAGAATTTAGGGGGGAACGCGTGGGGTTACCGACGCGTATCGAACGGACACGTGTACTCCGCGCGACGCACGAGGAGGCCGGCCGCCAAGTTTGCGCCAGCTAGTATCAGCCTGATACTATCAGCACTAGCTAGCACGATGTCGAGACACGCAACACCATGGTTCATGAACCGATGTCGTCGGGGACTCGGGGAGGCAGAGGAGGAAACTCTCGGCGCCGGCGCTAAAGTTGTGGCCGAAAACCGAAGACCGAAGTGGTAGCCTCGCGCATTCGCCACCGGGTGGCAGGGCCATGAGAAGCGTTATCGATAACGCCTATCTCTTCTTTATTTTGAAATGTGATGATAATTTTCATTTCCTTCGGCTCCCTTTTATCTCTCGTCTTTCAACAGCGAACCCTTCAATGAATCTATGTACAGCTTCTAAAGTAACCATTGAGTTTGTCTATACGTACTATAATTGTTTAGCGAAATTTTCTTTTATATCGTAAGTGCCTTTTCTGCTTCGCTCGTTTGAGCTTATGTATTTCTCACATCAATCGTACGTACGTAACAATGAAGCGATAAACGTTGCTCGCATTATTCGCGATTGGATTATGCGAGATTAAAGAGTTGTAATTGCGAATTGCGGCTCGATACTTTTTTATATTACTCCGTTACTTATGGCGCGTATATCACGATTTGTGTCATCGCATTATACACGTGCCGTTTATGAAAACAGCTTTACTGTAGTGTTTATAATTATAGATTTGCATCTTTATATATATGCATGTATAGAATGAAAAAATATAGAGCGTTTTTCTAAAATTTCCATTTATATCGACAATAACAATTTCGAAACATATATTGCTGTCATGATCTGCTATGATCAATTCAATCCCGGCAAATTGTTGTTTAACCGTTTGATCTTTTAATAATTTAATATCAATCAATAGTTTTATATGTGGAATAATATCAGCCACATATATATCCATTCAAAGTATTTATCACCAACCTCCATATGTGTACGTCTGTTTATCACGTGTCAAAACAGTGTGTGCGTTTTGAAAAAAAAAAAGAAACAGACACACACATATGACTGATCGTTATGAAATTTATGATCATACATTTTTTGACACACCGATTATATCGATGGAATTGCGTAAGATCATGTGATATTTAAATGAACTGATTTATAACTCTACAAAGAAGAACTACTGTAACTGCCTGTCCTCGTACGTTTTATTATAGACGAAGATTCGCGATAAAGAAAATAGCTCGTCAAAAATTTTCACTGTGTATGTAGAGACATTGCAGTGACTCGTCGTTGTCACAAACTTTTATGATTTGTTACCAAGTTTTGAGCGAATTTGATGCCAATTTGGCAACAATTTGTTATCAAATTGCTTACTGGGTAATTTACAAGTAATGCAAACAGCCACACACTTTCGCGAAATTTTCTGCGTACCTCCGAAAGCGATCCGCATCGGTTCGCAAAACGTTCGCGCGAGTTTAACTGCCGGTGATACGCGGATTTGCAATTTCCAGCTCGTATATGTGTATACATATACGTGTGTGCATGATTGGAATATCTATCAAGGACGCTTGGTCCCCTTCCTCTCCCCCTTTCTCGACGGGTACTCGTAATTTAGTATAATTCGTATATTACCACCCGCCGTCTCTACTCCTTCAAGTCGCCAAGCTAAAAGCTTTTGATTCCTATCAAGAGATCTATTGTCGAGCGCTTTCATCTTCGACTGAAAGCATACTTAATATTTTAATATATATAATTTAGCCATTAATGGAAGGGGGGAAGGAACAGAGAAAAGTCGACAAAAGTTGTTAATGAAAGATATAAATATATATTTTATGATTTACGTCGAAATGTTTTCTCTCTGAAAAAATGTATGTTATATGCGCTTTTAATTTTAAAATTTTCAGTTATGCTTGGATAAAACGCTTCGACAATTATAATTTATAAAATTTAATCTCGCAATTATATCGCCTATTTTGTGACATTCGGCTCGTGTATTATCTCATTTTCTGCGTTGTGCAAGTTCTTAATATAAAAAATATATAGAAAGATACGCGTGAATTTCCGATAACTTTGATCGTTCGGGGTTGCGTAGCTGAAAATCTTTGGCGCAAAGAACCAACGATCTTTGTCGAGGATCATAGAATCAGTCTCGGAGGCGGGATATCGATTCTCGCCGAAGTATTCCGAGAGGTGCCGAGCTCGTGAAAGTGACGTTACACGAGTAAGTGCACGAGCGGTGGTGAAGCTGGGTGAAGCTGATTGTGGTCAGTGGTGATTCACTTGTGTCGATTGACTCTGAGGAGACTTCGTCGTGTCTCCGACGTGTTGCGCGTCTCCGTGTTGCAGACTGGTTTAGATAATATATCAAACATGGCTACAATATCACTAATATCCAACAAATCTATATTATTACTATCACCTATCATTTCCATGAATTAAATTCAACATATATTACGTATGTCTCAATATGTGTTATTACTTTATTAACAAAATCAGACATAATTGTGTTACTCATAATGCATCATACTACACAGCATTACAACAAAGTAGACAGAATGTGGCCCCAAGTACACATGCCACAACTCATATACTGTCTAAGCCACCCGCCCGACCCGCTCCACCTTCTGTGGGTATGTTAATTGTGCTGAATGCTGTGTTTCTTATGGGTCAATTTATCTTTTTTTTTTCTAAAGAGCAAGCTTTTATTCAATGGTTTAATAAAATGTTCCGAGTTAAATTTCAAATAATTTTAGTTGACATTTTATTAATAATATATGATATAATAATATAAGATGAACTATCTCTTTAGCTTGTTCTATTATATTTGCTGCACTTTCAATATATCTGTTTGGAATGTGTTCTTACAAATATATTATGTATTTTTATTTAAAGAGATGCAATTTTATGAGATAATTATGATTTCTTTAATGTGTGTGTATTTGTATATGTGTGTGTGTATGTGTGTGAAGCAGATGCTTCATGGATATGCTTATCGTTTTGATATAAAAAAAAATGTCCAAAATTTATGTAACACTTTATATCGCAGCAACAATTTAGTCTTTGCACAGAGGCTATGAAAATTTTTTATCTTTGTCATATTTACTTTGTGTTACACATGTAGGTATGTGTTGGACTTTGCGATGATAAAATTCTCAACAAATATATTTGTTAGAAGTATAAAAGAAGAAACTCTATATGCATTAATTATTATATACTTTATATGCATTAATTATTATATACTTTTAATATTATTTATATTTTGCATGTCTTGATATTTTTCATATAATTGGGAAGATCTTCGTAAACGCTTGAACATAGAAATAAATATGATTAGATGTGTGTTAACACAATTTGGGATATTATTTATAAATTAGAAAATTTATAACATTTTTTAATCAGAACTTTTATTTGCTGATATAAAGTTATTTTATTAATTAAGAGAAAGAATATTTCATTAATAATGCTCTTTATACTTTCCGCGGCAAAAAAAAAGGAGTCGCGCCTTCTCTCAGTACCACAATTAGTGGTCCTCCGCAAAGACCTGCACCACCTGCAAGTATCGGTATGTTTAAATAAATACACATGTTACATTACAATCCAATATGTATGCAGAATCTGCATACAAAGTTTTATACTGAATTTTATTGCATTGCTTAATGTTTATTAATATCCTATGAAAAAGCATAAAGTACTTGCACAATATTTCTGTTTATGCTTATTCAGCTATTTTTTTTTTATATTTGTTGTATAATTTATCAAGCAAATATAAGGAATATAGATTATAGATTTATAACCATGTGATACAATTCAATAATGTAATAATAATTACACGAAATTATTGTAGGCAGTAACTTTGCGGCCACGACGAGTGGTCCACCACCAAAACCAGCACCTCCATCATTTCCAAATAGTCCTGTAGGAATCTCACCCATGAAAGTTCCACCTTCTGTTGTTGGTACATCGGTAGTTTCTTCAGTCCCACCTGTTTCTGGTATAGGTAAAAAATTAAAATCAACTTTAGGTCAAAATTGAGTACATTTAATAATATTATTTTATTATATATACATATAATCTTTATTATATAATAATGCATTTACAATTGTAGTTTTACAAAGTTATATTGGCATATATTTAATTTTTATTAATTATAGGTATTCCACCCGTAGCACCAATTGCACCTTTAAACACAAACCCTGTGCCAATGGCTGCCTTTAATATAGCACAGCCATTGTCGACACAGCCATTAGGCATAGTTAACACAGGTATGGTTGCTTCTATGACTGGCGTCTCTACTATGGTACCATCCATTGGATCAATAAATACTGGTACATATGCAAAACAATGTCTTATCTCTTATATTTGCATTTTTTATTATGGTGTCAATTTTTATTTTCTTTCACAGGTACTGGAGTTGCTTCATCAGTAGTGTTACCATTAGTATCTTCCACAACTGCAAACGGCGCATTAGTCAATGGCGCCATCACGCAAACGCCGGTATCTACAAATACACCCTTAAGTACAACGGCACGTCCACCGAGTATAGATAGAATGGGTTCCGTGGATTCGCAGCACTCGTTAGTTGGTTCGCCGCAATCTATAGAATGGGCAGTGCCACATCAAACTAAATTAAAATATACTCAATTATTTAATACTTGGGACAGAACGAGATCTGGTTTTCTATCTGGGCCTCAAGCAAGAAACATC